GTTATTGTTAATTTCTTTCTTTCCTCAGTCTTTTTTCACCTGAGTTCCTGTTGGGTTTGACTGTCGGTTGCCAGGATTGAATTTTGGAGCCATGTTTTCATGACTCTACACTGATAATGACTACTTTGGAATAAAGTCAGCTGTCTTCTGCTTGTGTGTGTGTTGGTGTGTTTGAGAGAAAGTGAGACAGGGGAAGTGAGAGTGAGACAAAGAGAAAGATGGGGACAACGAGCGTGAGGGGAAAGCTGGGCACATGCCTGCTTGGAATAGTGTACATGAATAAATTGTGTTTAGACTGGAGTGTTAGCATGCTGATCTTAGCATGTTAGCATGTATAGATGCCAATAATCTCAAAGTGCAGTTTAAGTTAAAAAATAAATTTGGTCTTTGACTTATAGATGTATCCTTTCATGTCATGAAGTGTTATACTCACTGAAATCTAGACTCAGTGATGCCGTCAAATATAAGGTCTTATGATCATCATAGTTATTATTCATCCTCTGTGACGATGAATGCCTTTTACCAAATTTAATTGCCATCCATCCAATATTTATTGTGTTGGACCAACAGATGGAAAACCAGTGTGGCTTAAATGTGGGTGAAAGATGGTTAAAGATGGTCCGTGTCATCACACATCATTACCATTTATACCAGCTCATATGTTACATTATTTACTGGTATACCCAATATAAAGATGACTTATGAATACGCCACATTAGTAAGATATGCTTCTTCAGTTTCTTGCTGAGAGTTAGATGAGAAGATTGATACCACTCTGTTATCTGTCTGGTAAATATGAAGCTGCAGCCGGTTAGCTTCCCTTAGCATATAGACTGGAAACAGAGCTAACAGCTGCGCTGGCTCTGTCTAAAGGTAAGAAAATACCAGCAGCTCTAAAGTTCACCAAATAACATGTTTGTATAAACTGCCAATGCCAATTCATTGTTTGAGTCAGTCTTTGAGCTAAGCTAACTGGCTTCTGGCTCTAGCTTCAAATTTACTATTCAGACATAAGAGTGGTATCAATCCTCCTTTTTAAGTATTTAGAAAAATGTATTTGTCCTTTCATGAACATCACAACAGGCATAAAGATCACAGTAAGAAACTGCCGATGTAAGTGATTTGGATGTCGGAGTGACCTTGTGGTGAGAGAGATTGTTCTTTGAATATAAGGTCACAGGTTTTGATACCCTCAAAAGCCCATTAATGGCCTTTTTTGATAACAGTAGTGTCCGCATGAGCCTGTAATGTAGCGGACACCTTCCTGTTTTTAAAGCTAGCGCTTAACCTGAAAGCGTTGGGAATCAGTACATCAGACAAAGAACGTGTGTTAACATGCAGCGCAGATAAGATTTGCTATATGACGGTAAACTAAAAAAAATCGCACTGGAAAGTACAAAGCCAGAGCTGAAGAATGTTCCCATTATAGCAGCATCAACACAAAAACAGATGACCCAGAGATATCCAGTTTCCTTGTTCCTTGGCCTTGTTTTCAAAATTCTTACCTCTCTCAAACCCATCCTATTTCTAAGAGGGCTTAATTTCATGGGTCACATCATTGACATCAATATTTAAAGATCAATATATTGTCATGACATTTGGTAAGGTTTTAAAGTGGACAACTCAAAACATGCTAACATGGCCTGCAAAGCACTTACACACTGTTTTGTTGCTGTAGAGGACACACACGTTTGCTGGTATTGACCTGCGGTGGTCAAATCAATAGCATCCACAGTTAAAGGACGATAATACATATTGACAACATTGTTGTTGTAGCCTGAGAGCTGGTTCATAATGTCAAGAGGATAAAATATTCAGCATTAAAACAGGAATCCAGTGAGGTTGCTGATATTGGAGAGAATTATTGTAGGGACTTAAATAGGGAACAATCCGGGCTTATACAACAACATTTAAAAGGCTTTTATGAACCAGGAAAATTGTGATCATACTGTTACCCCGCACAAAACATCTTGATGAGTCATTTTACATCCTGTTGTCGACAGACATTATGTGTCAGCTGGTCTCTCAGAACTGAAACTTTGACGTTTGGAGTTGGCACGGACCCTGGGAAGCCCCATTTGGTTTCTGTGTGTGAATCCATTTTTTCTCTTCTTCCGCTATATCTTCTGTTCCATCAGAATGAGCCTGTTTATCTCACTATGGGGTCAGTCTGTTGTGTCTGTTCTGCTACTGTGAGAACCCAGTCTGTCTTATATGTTTTTGACTTCCCCCCGTTGAAAATAACACGACTGTAGAAGACAATCGCTCAAACAGCTACTGTCGCAAATATCCAGAAGAAAATAAAAAACGTTGCACATCTCTCATCCAGTAAACTTTTCTTTAATTACCTCACCAGATATTTTTGGCTATCTCGCCTTCATCAGTGTGGTATCTGAGTTTGTTTCTGGTTTCAGTATTGAAAGTGTGAACGCTCTAAAAAAGTGGAAATTGCAAAGACTGACACACTATGAGGTAGTTGCCCATTCCTATGAAACTGTAGGAAACTGACCATTCTTAACACTGTGTGTGTGTGTGTGTGTGTGTGTGTGTGTGTGTGTGTGTGTGTGTGTGTGTGTGTGTGTGTGTGTGTGTGTGTGTGTGTGTGTGTGTGTGTGTGTGTGTGTGTGTGTGTGTGTGTGTGGAGAGTAAGGTGGTCACGTGTGGTCTCTTTAATCCCCCCCCCCCCCCCGTCTTCCACTGCTTCCAGACTCTTAATTGACCCACACAGAACAAAACGTCTCAGCTATTTCAATTGTCAGGAGAGCAGTTTGTTCTTGTGTGGCAATCAGGCCATAACACCGTTACCTTGTGAATTGACTCTAGTTGCAATAAAAACCCACATCAAAAGTAGTTTATTCCTCTTATTCCCTAGCTAATAAGGGCCCAGCATGAAATCTCACTTCTCATCATAACAGAAAATGAGGGTGCAGTTACTCAAAAAGAGCCTTGATGTAATTTTCAGAAATAGTCGATTGGGGAGAAAGAGGAGGGAGGAATTGGAGATTGATTGGACAACGAGTGTAGTGTAGTGTAAGTGTTTGATTTCGATCAGGGGGCCTGCCCACAGGCCAGGCATATCAGTTCAGCTCAAATAGTCTTCTTCCTCATCTTCGCAGCACAGAATAGCGGTACTTTTCTGTTGGTCAATGTCATTGGGTGGTGAAACTGTATTTTTCCAATAGCTCTTGTAATGAGTTTCTCTGCCCTTTTTTTCTTCTGTGTAGTCTTTCGTTTCTTGTCTCTTCACCTTGCCCGTCTTTGTTTATAGCGTGGCAATGTTCTTTCACAGCTACAAGCTTTGGTTTTACCGTTTCCCTCTGTAATAATCATCATTCAGAGGAAAAACCACACGTATATGCACTCACAACACACAGCTATTTACAGTGCAACACTGCTGCCGTTGCCATAGTATGTGCCTATTTGCCAACCTCAGGAATGAGGGTTTTCACTTTTACTTTTTGAATACTTTTTTAATTCCACCATTAATAAACACATTTCACTAAATAATTGTAGTAATGCTAATTAGCTAGTATGTTGTGGATTCGTCATAACTCCTCAAAGAGCGGTGTGTTTCCTAATAACATTTAGTTAGTCTTACTTTTAGGACTGCTTAGGGTTGTAGGGCTGTTTAAATTATCATTACAGAGTAGTTGTAGGGATTATATTACTTTGGATCTTTACATTCTCCTTAACCATTATGTGGGTATGTAACTTATATATGTCCATTGTCCACACTAACTAAATATGAAACCATAATTGCTCTGTTTTGGTCTTCCAGTCATACTTAGCCAGCATTTGTCACATCCAGAAATTGTGTTGATTGTTTTTTTACATATTCTGTGTGTGTGTGTACATGTTTACACTACCGTATTACAAATTAATTACATGCTATAGGGTGGATCAACACAGATTCTGCTCAGGTTTGTTTTAAATTAAGTGGTCCAGTGCTCAGGGTCATGTTCACATTGACTTGGCCCCTCTTGAGCGCTGTGTGTGTTTGTTTGAGAGGGTGAGACACACGGAGAGAATCACTATCTCAGCGGGGTAAAATTAATGTGCAGCTGCAGTTATCATCATTTATGGAACATTAACGATTTGGTTTGTGTGAGTGTTTGGAAACAAGCAGCTGTAAAGTCCTGCAGATATGAATGGGTCTAGGTCATGAGCCTGTTTATTCTTATTACACCGTTTGACAAACTGGTATTTGAAAAGAATAGTGTTGTACAATATTTCCCTGTAAAGCAGAAGTCAAACTGCGTAAAGAAACGGTGAAGTGCATGGAGAAAGATGAAGAAAAGGCGATTGTAAGTTCTCATGATGGGACACATCTACTTCCTGTAGTGTGTGAATATCTTGTTCCTGTCCTTGACACCTCTCGTCTCTAAGCAACTCACAATGACAGCAAGTTGGCAGCTCCTAATTGGCTGACGGTGTTAGTAGATCCAGTATTTTAATGCCTTAATACCACAGGTAACGTCAACGATGACAGAGATAAATAACACCATCTTTATCTCTAATGCAGAACTGCTTTGAATGAATGAACTGCAGTGGGGACATTGATGGATCTGCAGAATAGTTTGTCTTGTAAGGGATTTGAACTTTTATCTACTAGATTGCGTATTTTATTTTTAGTCTGGCCCACACAACATATAAGACTTGTTAATGCTTTGGCTATGATGTTTACTGTACTTAATTGCTCAGGATTTAAAGTAAGATTCGACATTTATTGGTTATAATATTGGCACTTGGATTTTTTAATGTTTGGGGAACTGCTGCACAGTATTGTATTGTTACTGTTCATGGTGTAATAATATGTTTTTTAACAACTCTGATGTCTGGGTACTTTCTTCTGTTTTGTTTTCACTGGATTTTATTACCGTAATTTCAAATTTGAGGATAATCAAAATCATGGAGGCTGACTTTTTTTTTTTTCCTTTCCCCCATCTTCTCTTTCTTCCTCACTTTCTACCCCTCTCTCTGGTCCACATGTTCCTGTTTAGTCCAATCAGTCTGGTCTCACCCGGATTTAGTCAACTTGAATCTTATTTCCTTGGAGAGCGGTCCAGCGTTTCAAGCTGGACGGAGGAGAGACGACCGGGGCTGAGGGCCCTGCCTTTGTGCTTCGCCACAGAACAAACCTCATTGAAAACACAAAAGACAGCACGCCTGCGGATCCCATGAGTCCCCGGGCGAAAGGAGACACGCTCAACTCAGGTTCAACCAGCCACCTTAGCACCTCAGAGTGCCCCTCACACAATGGGGTGAGTATCCAGCACAGAAACACACCTGTGGCACGGTATGGGTCAACTGGTCACACAGGAGAACTATGAAAACACACACCCTCACATTAATAATTAAATAGATGTTGTTAGCAGGGAAGTATAATGTTCTGTAACTGATGCTGAACGTCAACGTCTTAAACATAAGCTATATACTGGAGTGTTTTGTTTTTTTTAATTCCCCAAATTAAAATCTGAGTCAACTTTAACAGTTGCAATGTAAGCGGGGCTTAAAGTTCTCGGTCACTGCGGGAATTCTGGAGCGTTTTCGTTTTAGATTTGAAAATGGATAAGTGGATGTCTATGGAAAATATTCTTGCACATTTTTTACTTTATTAATAAAAACGTTTGTTTACTCTGTGGCTCAGTGAGGTGTCCACTCAGTAATACTCGTGGCTGTGCTACTTTAAAAAGGCACTGCAATATTGTCATCTTTTGGACTAATTAGGCGGTCTTTTGACAACAGTAGACCTGTTATGCAGCATACACTGTGTAGAGGAGGAACAAGCATTGAAAAGTTTGAAAGATATGTGTATTGGATATTCTTTATGGCTTTGAAAGTTGTGCTTCGACTTGGAGACAATTGCCAGCGCACGGCTTCCGACTGAGGAAGGGTCAGTAGGTTTGAATCTTTTGAGTTTCATATTGATTTGAAGACATTGTGGTTTAATCACTCGCACACAGCCTGTTTTAGCACCAGTTTCCCTTTGAAGACCTGATATGTTTCCACAGATCAAAAAGTACACTAAACTCAAGAGTTAATTAAACATTGGAAGATAATCTGACCTTGCTTGGAAAAGGAACGATTTTAAAGTTAACAGATGAAGATTTAAATTTTAGCTTTGCAAGGTTTGGGGACAACATGTGAATGTTTGTACTGTGGTGTCCGTGCCTCTCTCCAGCTGCAGAGTATTATTTTAAACTGTAATGGTCAAATGCACATATGTTATACACCACAGTACTGCAAAGGGGTGTTTGGTTCTACTGGAATTTTCTTAACAGATGAATTATCCTTGAGGGTAAAACATACGTACAAGTATGTAAACATGGAAGAGTCATAAAATGACACATTATCACTTCCAATGAACGGCGCTTCAATGCAAAGCAGAAAGTAAAAAAAAAGAAACTGTAAAAAGAGCTTGAAATGAATCCCTCAGTCCCAGTTGATCCCAGTTTGCCTATATTTGCTCAGGTGTGACGCAGGTGAAGCATTCTTTAACAAGTTTCTCAGGTTTTCCCAGCAGGTTCTTGGAACTTGACTTTGTACAGTCTGATCATGAGGCAGTTTACCAAGCTTTTCAACCTCCGCCACTTTTACTTATTATCAACACCCTCCCCACCTTCGAGGCTTTTTCAAACTCGATGATGAGTCATTCTGTCCTGTAGTAATTAACAGTGCATTTTGAGAGGGTTGGCTCAGCCTCGCCTGATGTTTTTAGCGCCGCGCTTAAGTCGGAAAATGATGTGCATGTTGAACGTGTGCAAGATTCACTGCCTCTAAAAATAGGCCTGTTATGTGGCAAACGCAGCCAAAAAATCTGTGTGATTAGCATCCCCATGAAGGCAACCTAGCGAACTGATCAGTCGTGCCAGACGCGCGATGTCAGAGGCAGCACTTGTGTTACTTCTGACTGTGGGCGTATGTGCGCGCGTGTGTGTACAGACAAAGCTGGCGGGCTGTCGTTCAGTGTGAAAGGCGATCAGCACAGGGGCCAGTCTGAAACACAATAAGGTGCGTGTGTGCGCATTGTGATTGCTTGTATGTGTAACACAACACTGATACCTGAGAGGCCGCGAGGGGCCCCCTACCCCGACCAGCCAGGGTAGACTGTCTTAACACCCCCACAGGCCGTCGCTTTGACTTTTCATAGTATTCTGGATGGTAGTGCATGTCTGGAAATGTATTTGTGAGTGTGTGTGGTATAGCTTTGGGGTTTGCTTCACACATCCTGTCTGCCATCACCTCTCTGTCTCTTAGTTTGACAGTCTTTTTTTATTTTAAAAGCTACAGGGATGATTTCTTTTTTAAAACACTGTGCATTTTTCCTGTTTTTCAGACACTTTTGAACTTGTCCCCATGACATTCTGGTATTTGTGTGTCTTCCTGATCACACCCTACAGCTTCAAAACAATAGCTCTTTAACTGCCAACAATATCAGCCTCATACTTTAATATGAGACATTTGATATGGTAATTTGGTGCTCAGAATGGCTTTAAACAGACGGTACCACTTAAAACTTGTCATAATGATTCCTCTTTTCAGTGCCAAACTTTCAGTGCCATTAAAGTTCAATTGGGTGTCTTTTACAGATTGTTTAATTCAATTTAGGTAATTAAGATTTTAGATGGCAATAGCTGTTAGGCAAAATGGTTTCAATTGAAAGTTTGTGCTAATGCTACTAATGAAATTAGATTTTCAGGAGAGTGGAGAAAAGATCCTGCTGAGAACTAAATATAGGCTATAGAACCCAATAAAGTCTGATTATGTTATCCCGCCCTTTAAAGGAGTTTGTCCATACTTCTGTAGTCAGATGTCCGACAATACCGAGACAACAGATAGTTATCTGTAAACAAGCTCCTCAAACATACTTACTGTACACTCAGATGAATGAGACGGGGTTTTGTCAGCCGACAAAACAAGCTGCGGAAATTTACTACTCACACAAACTTCAGCCACCAATAACAAAACAAGGGAAATACCAATAAACAGTGAACAATGCTTGAGATTTTGGACCTTGAGTCCTCTGCACATCCTCACTTTGTTTTTATTGCTTTCATGCATCGACTCCCAGCCTCAGAGTCGACATTCAGTTTCACTTACTGTACCTGGCGTCTACGATCACAGTCCTTCAGTCATTGTAGCATTACTATTATCATAATGTTTTAAACCCTCGGAGAAAAATCAACAAAATGATACCTGGATATTTGGGTCCGCTGCTGAGTCTGGCTCCCAATTTTGCTCAGTGGCCGCTCACAGGATTGCAGCGAAAAATTCCCCTGCAGCCCAAAAAGCATTTTTTTCCCCATAGATCACAGTTATAAAAGAGTAAACTGTTGATGGGACACCTCAAACTGCAAACCAGGACAATTATGACTCTTTCTGTTAAGAAAATTGAATCCATGATTTTATTTTTGTAAAAGAGCTGAGAACAGCGATTTTAAAAAATCAGGGTCGCAATCACAATGTAAAGTCCACGGGCCGAGCGGGAACTTGCAGGTGGGGCCAGCGGGAGAAACGCTACTGCACATATTCAGAACGCGTACAACGGAAGTTTACCCGAAAGCTAGAAGCTTTTTGGTGTATGCACCAGGTGGGAAATTATTGGAGTGAAGAGGCACCATCTTTGAGTCTGTTATCCAGATCTTGTAATACATCCCTGATCCAATGATGCAAGAAAGAAACAACAACAACTTTTAAGTGGCTTTAAAAAAAACAAAGATCCTTGATTTAAGCCCTCAAACTATTTGAAAATCTGTTGCCATGCTAATGCAGATTTTTCATGCACTCCTCATGGTCAGGGGAGAGAACAGAGAGAACAGAGAGAACAGTTTGTCTTGTGGCAGCCTGAGCACAGTGTCGTTTTTTTAGAGTCTGGCATGAGTGTGCGTTTGGAACATACTGTCTGTTTTTGAGGGTTTGGCGTCTTGTCCGAATTGTTACGGCCCCGAGAGAGCACTCTGCATGTGTGAGTCACATGTCGAAGCTCTCCATCTGCGCTGTGCAGGGGTTACAGTGTACAAGGGTGAGGTCTTGCCTCTTTAGTCCAGCTCTAAGTCCAGACTCTGCTGTCATTGGTCCATAGGGTTTCAGCTGTATTCCTGTTGGCTGGCAGCCGTTTCCTTGATTCTGACCTCTCCTAAACTGCCATCATGTGTCTTTGTTTACATTGAGTCTAAAGTTCCATGTTTCACTGGAAGACGGAGCTTTTCCCTCAAATGTTTCCCCTCACTTCTCAGTCATATCTTCTAACTTATCTTCTTCTAACTAATTTAGAGCCTCACACAACACATACACACTGCATTTCAGTCTTTAGTCAGGTGAAAAGTCATTAGCCGGGTCTACATGCAGATTGTTTAATGAGTCTGTGGGGAGTTGGATATGGTTTTTTTTGTTTAAGTGTGTGAGACAGTGGGAGAGATTGGTCTTTAGGGGCTCATTTATCACTGAGCAGACCGGCGTCTCGAGGGATTTCCTCGCTCCCTTCTTGTTCTCCTGTCTGTTTATCATTCGAGATGAGCTGCTTAGCTTGCGCTTATGTGTTTGCGTTTGAAGTCTCTGTGGCGTTGTTGTTGTTCTTGCCTTTGTCCTTCAAACACACGCTTCGTGGATGATTTTTGTGGGTGCTTTATCCATCATCTGGCTTTCCAACTGTAGTTGTTGTGTCACGCTAAATCTTTACTGTATATTCATTAAAACCAGATCAGAATGACGGTGCTGAAAAAGGTCTAAAAACAAAATTCACAAGTCACTTACAAAACATATACTGGAGAGGTCAGAATAAATATTAATGAAATAAGCTTTTGAGACACCTTAAACACATGAAAATTGAACAAACATTCCCATGTTGATCATCTTTAGATTGTTTTTAAAGTTTTTAACCATCATGAACTGGTTTTTATAACTAATATCCTTTTTTTTTTTTGTCTGTCTCTCTCTCAGTCCTTGTGAAGCACAGTGAGCTGCATTCTGTACTATAAAAGTTGCTTCACAAATAAATATTATTTTAACTGTGCACAAGAATATTTCAGGGTTTTGTAAATTTGGTAAATTAACACTCAAAAAACATCATTAGTATGTATGAACTTTTTATTCCACAGAAGATAAACAACATTCAATCTTCCTTTACCTACACACTGACATGAGGACAGATAAAACGGATTTATTAAAATAACTTGATCATGTAATTGTGGTGTCAAAACACAGGATGTAAATGCCATGCACCAATAAGGCTGGACTGTTTGTTGGACAAAATTAACTTTTTTCACTTTTGGGAATTTAATAGACCAAACAATTAACTGACCAAATGACTGTCAGATTAATCAATAATTAGTAGTCATTGGTTGCAGACCTAGTTGTCTACATCGTTTCTCTGAATGTCCCCTTATTTTTCAGCAGTCAGTGGTAGATTTGAGTATGATGTAGGTTATTAAAGTCATTACAGCCATAAAGGTTCACAAGCCCAAAGCAGAAATGGACAGTGTGAGATTAGTAAGTATACTTAGTAAGATTCCTCCAAACTGCCCCTAAACCAAATGTTTATTTTGGTAGACAAGCTACTGTTTTAACAGCTTGAAGATGTTATCACATCTTTTAAATCAATTTCCGGAGCTATAAATATTTCCCTTTTGGCATTTCCTAGGAAATTATTTCTCTAAAAATGGGTACAATGGCTAATGTGGCAATTTGTCAGACCGGCCTGGCCTGCGCTGACCTCCAGTTGTTGTAGTCATACATGGTGAGCTGTTCGGTGAGCTTTCAGAGCCGAGGAAGAGGATCATATCTTTAAACACACACACACACACACACACACACACACACACACACACACACACACACACACACACACACACACACACACACACACACACACACACACCGAAATTTGACTCTGTCACCTCCATCTTAATGATTGGTTCCTGACTGACGTTGAGTCACGTGTGGCAGACATATTGCATTCGTCCAAGGTGTGTGTGTGTGTGTGTGTTGAGGGTCTGAATGGAAGCCCATTAGCTTGTTAGGGATAGCCCACATTTCCAAGAACCTTAACCTACTTCTCTCTTACAGCCCTCCTGTCCTTGTTATCAGGTTACTGAGCAGTTGACAGCCAAACCCTCTGCATCACCTGCTGCTAAACCTCAACACTGCAGCTTTCACTGCCTGGATTGAGTTTAGTGCAGGAGAACAGATGTTTCACAGGAGAAAAGCGGTTCCTTCTCTGTCTCTCCAGCTGGCCACCGGTCATTTCCTCTTTTTGTGAGGTAATGAAAGCACCAGCTTTTGACAACGAAGATGAACATGTGGAATTAGATAAAGAACACAATATCTCTGGGTCTGTTGCATCGATTTTTATCATTCCTTTACACCCAAGAATGTAATTAGGTCTTGGTCATGTGATAACATTGAGATTCAGAGAAAGAGGCAAGCACACAACCTCACAGAGTGACCTAACAGCTGAAGTGGTTCAGTACAAAGGTGGTTTCTGGATCATAAATCACTTAAATGTGCAGGTTGTAGGCTAAATGCTTCCCATCCATCTCCACCTCTCTCTTTATCTACGTTGATGTCTTCTTCGTAATGTATGTGTTAATGAATGACACACTGTCCCCTATTCCAGTCTGTCCAGAAAGTATTTACTATTACAGTGCTGTAGATGCCCTGTATGCATTGTGTGAAATGGCAGTGGGGATGTTATGTGTCTGGTGTGTAGGGCTGAACGATTTAAAAGAACATCTAATTGAGATTATTTTGACTCGATATTGTAATGGCGATATGATTTGCGATAGTAGCAGGAATGATGCTTTTTACATAATCATTCTCATTTTCACTGAAAAACATATCAAAATGAATTCTGGTGTGGTTTTTGTGGGGATCTGTACCAAACAAAGATGTTTTCTCAAGTCTCTAGAACATTATGTGTAGGCCAGGACATCTCTGCAACATGACAGTATTTAATTTAACATTGTATTTTCACACGTCACCTTTAACAAATATCGTGCTATATTGTGATTTTGATAAAATTTTGATTAATTGTTCCAGATACCCCCTGCACACATAGTATACTCCATCACTGGCGCACACACACACGCACGCACACACACACGCACGCACACACACACACACACACACACACACACCACACACACACCACACACACACACACACACGAATGTGGTTTTACAGTTGCTCACCGTCTGGTGTGATTGAAACTGTGTGTGTGTACCTCTCTTACTATACACAGCAGCGGACTGAGATTCGTCCTCATAGATGATTAAGCGCAATCTACTCATCATTCACTCACATAAACATGGGCAGATGTAAGACCAACAAAGTCAGACTTTAGGAATCTGAAAGTGTTGACTGTCTACAGACTTTGACAATGTGAGAAACGTAAACGTCTAAGAGGCATCATGGTCAATACACACACTCGCAAAAAGGAGGGACCATGCAGTCGGACTGTATTTTGCTGGTGGGTCTCTCTAAAAATGGGTTAGTCATGCATTATATATACAACAGGACATCTCTCTCTTTCTGCAGTTTTCTTGTTCTCTTGTCTATATCTGTCTCGCTGCACATCTTTTCTAATCACTTCCTTTCAGCTGAACACGGCGTGTGTGTGTTCGGTGAAGATTGCGTGTCTATGTTGACATTTTAAAGAAATACATCTTTTGTGTTTACGTGCGTTTTTTTTTTTGTATGCCAGCACATTATCACTTTTATCCACCTGGATCCACACAGCATCACTGCGCGTGTGTGTGTGTGTGTGTGTGTCAGTTATGATGGATGACTGTATTTATCACAAAGCACTAGCCATATTAATTCTGTGTCTGGCTCCCCAGCTTTAACTGCTATTGTGTTCGATTGAATTCCCACTGTCTTGTTGAAGATTAGACAAACTCTGTCGACATCTGTTCAATCAAACATTGGCTCTTTTTTCCTAAAAATGTACTGTGTTTAAATTATTTTTTTGCTTGTTTTAATTCATAATTATATATTAAGACAAGAAACCCAAATCCTAGTGTTGTGATCACTATTAATTCACTTCTCAGTCTGTGTGTGCACTTGTTTATGTTTATATAGACTCTTTAAGACAGCCCAGTTCAGAGTTCACTAGATAAATCTGAGAGGTCATGAGATGATTAATGTGATAGGTTTGGCTATTTTCTATAATCATTGGTATTTTCTTGTGAAATACTGGTTAGGTTGCTAAATTAGTTATAAACTACACAAAGTCGCTCATAGGTTAATACATATTAAACCTATTACAGGGGGTCATGATGAACCACCGCTTTAAGACATTTTATTATGGTCTCTGTAATTATTTTAATTTGTGAAGTGTGAGAAGATTGGTTGATGTGGGAAAACGTGCGCACCCTGAAGGCAGTTCAATAATCACACCTTGCAGCATACACGCCGTTACAGTGACAGTATCTTCGATGTAATTAATCCTGAAGCTGAAAGATCTCCCTTTTCACTACACATACAAATACAGACACAACTAAACAACAACACAACATAAATGTCCTCAACAGGACACAAGAGCAACATGACTTATGGTCGTCATATTCCACCTGTTGAATCCGCGTTTGTTTGTCGCACATGGGATCCATAATGTCACATGAGTAGTGTCAATGACACATTTCTGAAGTGGGTATCACTTACTTGTGGCAAAATCAATTTGATCAAATAAAGATCACCCCCTCAATCACACTTCACTTCTTTCATCTAATTAAGCTGACATGCCCCAAGTAATTAAACCTAAATATTATTTTACCTCTTTGTTCGAACAAGAGAAAAGGTGTCATTAAACAACCTGTCCTCTAAAAATCCCTCTAAAAATCCCTCCGTCCTAACTATGTTTCTTTTCTTTCCAGAGTGTCCCAGAGTGCTACGAGGAGAAAAGAATAAATGAAGAAGATGACAGAAGAAGAGAAGAAGAGGAGGAGGAGAAGGAGGATGAGAAGAGCAGTGATGAAGGTTTCATGGGAATGACTCCGCTGCTGCAGGCTCACCATGCCATGGAGAGGATGGAGGAGTTTGTACACAAGGTAATAAACACACACACACACACAGGTGCATGTGTGTATTAGGTTATAGTTAAAATGTTTTCATGCGTTTCTGCTGCATTTTGCCCCTCATCTTATCTACACAGACGTTTTGGAGCCGCCCCACCTTTAATTCCTCCGCCACCGCTAAATTTGTTAATCTTCTAGAGCCATGTTTGTTTTACCGAGGCAGTTTTACATCAGGACTCAATAAAACCACATAATAAAAAGACACCATTAAAACCATAAAAACTGAGCTTTTTGTGTCCTGAGCAAACTTCATATGCTTGGGTTTTATTTTTTTATGTTCTACTTTATCTCTTAAGCTGAACGTGTTTCACGAGCCACAATCCAAACTGGAAAATATCCAAAATACATGGCAGAAATCAAGCTGTTTTCTGCTGATAAGTGTAGATTGAGAGTGAGAGTGGAAAAGTAAGCACATTCTTGGTTTCTTCTTCTGCCATTTACTTTGCCAGAAACCTTTTTTTTTTTTTTTTTTTTTAATGAAAATGTAGGCCGACAAAGAGTTAAGAGTGTCTGTTTGTAAGACAACACTGCTTGACCACTATGAGCTGAGTGCACCAGCTAGGACTAATATTCTCAAACACACAGACACACAGTCAGCTGAATTACAACCAACATGTTGTAAATTAGGCAAATTAATCACAGGAGAGAAACTCTCTCTCTCCGGTCTCTCCATCAGGGCTGTTTGCCATAACTTCAGTCTATTTATTTACATCACTTGACCCCAATACTGTTCATTTGACACCGACACCTACACTACACACACTCGTGATCACATACTGTACTCCCATCTTACACACAAACACTCATCCCGTTTCAAGGAAATGCAGTAAACAACCAGCTGCTTCTCATAAAGGACATTTGAATTTGATTAACGTCTTCCATCCATTCCCAGCCTTCAGGTTGTTTTTATTTCTAAACTTAAATGTGATGTTTTTGTCCTTTCTTTAAAATTTTTATTAACCAACCAGGTGTGGGAGGGCCGGTGGCGTGTCATACCTCACGACGTGCTCCCCGATTGGCTGAAGGACAACGACTTCCTGCTTCACGGCCACAGGCCACCAATGCCTTCTTTTCGCGCCTGCTTCAGGAGCATCTTCAGAATCCACACAGAGACGGGAAACATCTGGACACATCTGCTAGGTAGTACATACACAAACAGATGCTCTTATAACCCTGATTTTAACAAACATTAGTGCCTTATATCCTACTTTTTAAAGGGACTTAAAACTCACTTCACTTTTTTGTTCCTGTAATCTGTTTCTTGTTCTTGTTTTTATCCTTTAGTTAATCTTCATTTAAACCAGATAGGTTTGACAGCAAAATCTTATGTAAACTGTCACGCGTGCAAGCAGCAAAACCAGGCTGTTTAGCTTTTATAAGCATTGCCATGTCAAGAGCTGGGAGCTGCAGGTTTGTGTAAGAAACAAACAATTCCTCAAATTCCAGTGCGTTTATTTTGGGCGAGCACCTTCGAATGAGTTGGATTTGTGTTGAACCACATGGTTTTCTCTTCTGTGGCAGCTGGGGAGCCAGTTAAGTGTCTTCTGTTTTAGAAACAACTGTCTGAGTTTCTGCTCCCCCCTGGTGCTTAAACAGAGATTCTGCACCTAAATGACTTGGGTGAGATTGTGTTAACAGTGAATACTATTGCTGCTGTTTATCTTATTTTGGTCTGTTCCTCAGCATTTAAAATTTTCATTAATTAGTCCTAGGTGATGCTAAAGCTGAATACATGGTGACGTATTTCATTCTGATTAACTCAGTGGGGGATAGCAGCATTTGTTGGGGAGTTATTTATCTATGATTAATATTTAATTCTCATCCCTCTTCTTCTCTCTGCAGGCTGTTTGTTTTTCCTCTGTCTGGGCCTGATGTACATGTTCAGGCCCAACATGTCGTTCGTGGCCCCGTTCCAGGAGAAGGTTGTGATCGGGATGTTTTTCCTGGGAGCCATCCTTTGCCTCTCCTTCTCCTGGCTCTTCCACACAGTCTACTGCCACTCTGAGGGCGTCTCCAGAGTCTTCTCCAAGTAAGACGCACATTCTGTAAACTCAGATTTCACTATCTGAGATTCTAGAGCAGGAAAAACGTCCCCTTTCTGTGAGCTGTGTCTTTAATCACCTTCTCTTTGTTTCTGTGTGCCCAGGCTGGACTACAGTGGGATCGCCTTCCTGATCATGGGCTCTTTTGTCCCCTGGCTGTACTACTCCTTCTACTGCTCCCCTCAGCCCTGCTTCATCTACCTGATAGTGGTGTGCATACTGGGATTGTCCGCCATCATCGTCTCCCAGTGTGACTTCTTTGCCAAGCCGCAGTACAGAGGAGTCAGAGCAGGTAGAGTGAGATAGTGACATTATTTTGTTCTTTAAAGCTGCTCTAATCAATATTTTATGTTGGCAATGGATCAAATGACTGTGTGTGATGTGAATGGGGTCGCCTATAGTGATAAACCCACAAAGTATCTTCACCTTGCTACAGTGAAAATGCTGAACCGCTCTAGTTCTTCCCAGGAAGAACTGGAGCTTTTTGTCATTTTTCTGCACATATTTTTGGTTTTCAGCTCGCTCTAAAACCCCGCTGTACACTTTATGTTCAGCACCATTTGTTTAGACGGACACAGTTAGCAACTAGCTAGCAGCATTTAGCTGCTAAAGATGCACATGTTTCCCTCAGGAGTCGGTGGAGACAAGTAACCAAGCTAAAAGAGAGGGAATATTAGACGTACATACACCAAGTAACCAGAAACATGACTCCAAGTAGATTAGTCTTTGTGTCTGTTCTTCATAAAGTGAAAATAAGTCAGTGTTCTGTTAATAGCTTGCTTGCAAAACAATCAGTCAAAGCAGGTTTAGGTATTGACACAATCTCTGTCCCTGTCTCATGTCTGCGTTTAGGAGTGTTTGTGGGGCTGGGTCTGAGCGGCGTGGTTCCCTCCCTGCACTTTGTCATCAGCGAGGGTCTGATCAAAGCCACCACGATGGGCCAGATGGGCTGGCTGCTGCTCATGGCGACGCTCTATATTACCGGAGCGTGTCTGTACGCCGCTCGCATCCCTGAGAGGTTCTTCCCTGGCAAGTGTGACATCTGGGTAAGTGACTAACAAACACACACATGCCACTGATGGTACAAAATATTAAGGGTGTGTTCTCAAAGTAGAAGCTGTTATCCCCTATTTGTTCCCAAAGCAGGGGCTCTTGCCTTTTCACGTTTTCCTATCTTTATGTCACGCCGCTTGTTTCTCACACCCATTTAATGTACTCTTTTTTCTTCTCTGTCTCTTCCCCTAGTTCCACTCCCACCAGTTGTTCCACATCTTGGTGGTCGCCGGAGCTTTCGTTCATTTCCACGGCGTCTCCAACCTGCAGGAGTTTCGCTACACGGCAGGAGGGGGCTGCGCCGCCGACGGCACGCTGTAATGCAAACACACAGTGACCCATTCGTTCACTGTCACAAATTTTACGGGGAGGCACTGGTTCATATATGCACAGAATTAAACACACACACAAACACACACATGCTCCTCAAACATGCACACACATGCGCCCCCCCCCCACCCCAGACAGCAAACCGAAGTGGCTTGTTTGGTGTGTGTCTGTGTGCGTAATACACAGGATGGCCTCCCAGGGGGCGCTATTAAAACGTACTGATGAGGGTTTTTGTTCTCTTTCTGTGTGTCTGTCAGTCCCCACCTCCTCCGGCTGTGTTGCTTGAAACCACTTCTAAGCTGGTGTGTTTTATAAACCAGTTGATAGACTCTGCTCTTTCCAGGATGTATCTCCATTTCTGTGGGAGGTGGGCGGTGAGACTTTCAAAACCTCTCTCAAATAATCGTACATTTTCTTCTGTGTTGAGTTCTGACATTTAAGAGAGTTTAATGGTTTGATTTGAAAAGGAAGCATAATTGTGGCTTTAAAAAATACATTTTCGGGTGCTTTGTGCTGAATGCTGTTTTCCGAGTCACACTTTAGAGCAAAAAAAGAACTGAGTGGCAAATGGATTTCTTCCATGATTGTGAAGGTAGCAGGGGGAGATGTTGGGAACTGGGAAGGGGTTAATAGTCACTTTCAAAAGGAAAAAATAAATGAAATAAACCCAACCTTTTCCATGTAAATAAGATTTCTAAATTTTGGGTTATAGATTTGTATGAAACGTAAATGAAAAAAAGACCAAAAAAATATGTTATAATATGATGGCAAGAATAAATAAATGTGTTAGATGATGAATCAATTAAAAATGAGGAGAGGTGCTCTAGCAGTGAGTTGCAATGGAGAGAATAATATACTGCGGTTGGAGGGAAGCGCTTCAAACTATTAAGTGGTGGCGGCGAGGAGGAAATTTAAGGCACAACATCAGAATCTTTTCAAACAAATGGCGACATCAAGACTCGCTGGTATTTTGTCCAGAGTCACCTTTTCTGACGTTAAAACTTGCATTCTAAACAAGGAGACAGCAGAGTGGCTGTCCTCTACGCAGTTTTTTTTATTATTACTTTTTCACTTTTGTGTTGAACCTTGTGTTTGTTCAAGCATCAGAGAGTCTGAGCACTGATCTCAAAACAGACCTGGGGCCTCATGAGTAGAACTGTCTGTTGCCTGAAACCAAATCTAAAGTCAAAACTATGATCTAAAAAAAAAAAGAATCCTCTTGACATGTAGCCATTTTTCATGTATCTTACTGTAAATTGTCTGATTTATCTCAAAGTAAAACGTCACCAGTATAAGTTTGTTTTCTATGATATGCCCTTAAATGAGTTGTTGAAACACATCATGGATAACTTAGATATATATTTTTTTATAAACAAAGGCCCCAGAGTCTTATATCATTTTGGTACAACTGCAGTATTATTACAGTACAGATGCAGTTCATTGTACTCCTCCTCCTCCGTGATACTTGATAAGATTCACCACCACACAGAACAAGGATACTCTGTCTGAAAACATGTTTTTTTTTTTTCTGATTGGATTTTGTTTTAATTTATATCCACTGCTGTTTTGGGTATAATAATTATTATTATTATTTATTACTACTATTACTATTCTTGCAAGCTTTAATTTCCACTCTTTTCCCCCCTATTATTTATCACCTGTTTCTAGCATTTAATCAGAGAACATGCAGTGAGGGCAGAAGTCTCATCTAAAGATTAGAGAAAATTCACTACTTTAAGGACCGATATGGAGACAAGATTAAAACAACGTTTTAAAAATGTTTTCTCGCGATACCAAAACCTCGCACCTGCACAATGGAAACCCTTCTAAAATTGTTTAAAATGTAGGTGTGCCAGTTTCTATCGGATGGCGGCTTTTTTTTTTTCTGAACAGGAAGTTGAATTACCATCGTCTCTTCCAGGCAACCCGCATATTTTTCACTTTTTTTTCCTGTTTTTATTTGATCTAGTTTATATTAATTTATTTCTCTTGGGGAGTGCATATTGTCTGTTGAAGTTCTGTTCTGATAGGAGTGTTTGATTGCGATAGACCTTTATATCTGCTGTATTGTTCTAATAAAACGTTTTTTGAATCTATCACTTTGTCTTAGTGGTTTGTATGTGCACTAAACCATGAAAATAAGACATTATTTAATATGGTGTGAATCGCCTGTAGCCTACATTGTTCCTCATGAGTTAAGTAATGTGCTACATTTTTATTTTTATTACTTCCATTTTTAAAATCAGGCGTCAGCCAAGATGGTTGCTTTAGTATGTATATAAATTACTGGGCCAATTAAATACTTATTTTAAATGTACAGAAGCATTCATATATAATAGGGGCCTTCCTCCGTTGCTCTTCATTCATTTGCTGGACTGGATGAGGGGGGTTGTGGGTCGGGATCAGGTGCAGCCTTCACAAAACGTAGCAAAACGTTTAAGCGGAAACGGTGGTGCCTCGAACCGCGCACATTACAGCAGCAGCAATATTAGTGGGACCACTCCAGACAATGTATAGGCCTGATGGCACTACTCATTTTACAACAAGACAATGATTATCTAGTCTCTCAGTCAAAGGTTAGTTACAACTCTGGACTAATGCAAAATGGAAAGCAATAGATTATTGACTGTTAAAATGTAGATTAGTGGGGCAGACTGGGCAACATGGAGGCACATACAGTGAGGAAAATAAGTATTTGAACACCCTGCTATTTTGCAAGTTCACCCACTTAGAAATCAGGAGGGGTCTGAAATTGTCATCGTAGGTGCATGTCCACTGTGAGAGACATAATCTAAAAAAAAATAATCCAGAAATCACAATGTATGATGAACTATTTATTTGTATGATACAGCTGCAAATAAGTATTTGAACACCTGTCTATCAGCTAGAATTCTGACTCTCAAAGACCTGTTAGTCTGCCTTCAAAATGTCCACCTCCACTCCGTTTATCATCCTAAATTAGATGCACCTGTTTGAGGTCGTTAGCTGCATAAAGACACCTGTCCACCCCGTACAATCAGTAAGAATCCAACTGCTAACATGGCCGAGACCAAAGAGCTGTCCAAAGACACTAGAGACAAAACTGTACACCTCCACAAGGCTGGAAAGGGCTACGGGGAAATTGCCAAGCAGCTTGGTGAAAAAAGGTCCACTGTTGGAGCAATCATTAGAAAATGGAAGAAGCTAAACATGACTGTCAATCTCCCTCGGACTGGGGCTCCATGCAAGATCTCACCTCGTGGGGTCTCAATGATCCTAAGAAAGGTGAGAAATCAGCCCAAAACTACACGGGAGGAGCTGGTCAATGACCTGAAAAGAGCCGGGACCACCGTTTCCAAGGTTACTGTTGGTTATACACTAAGACGTCATGGTTTGAAATCATGCATGGCACGGAAGGTTCCCCTGCTTAAACCAGCACATGTCAAGGCCCATCTTAAGTTTGCCAATGACCATTTGGATGATCCAGAGGAGTCGTGGGAGAAAGTCATGTGGTCAGATGAGACCAAAATAGAACTTTTGGTCATAATTCCACTAACCGTGTTTGGAGGAAGAAGAATGATGAGTACCATCCCAAGAACACCATCCCTACTGTGAAGCATGGGGGTGGTAGCATCATGCTTTGGGGGTGTTTTTCTGCACATGGGACAGGGCGACTGCACTGTATTAAGGAGAGGATGACCGGGGCCATGTATTGCGAGATTTTGGGGAACAACCTCCTTCCCTCAGTTAGAGCATTGAAGATGGGTCGAGGCCGGGTCTTCCAACATGACAATGACCCGAAGCACACAGCCAGGATAACCAAGGAGTGGCTCTGTAAGAAGCATATCAAGGTTCTGGCGTGGCCTAGCCAGTCTCCAGACCTAAACCCAATAGAGAATCTTTGGAGGGAGCTCAAACTCCGTGTTTCTCAGCGACAGCCCAGAAACCTGACTGATCTAGAGAAGATCTGTGTGGAGGAGTGGGCCAAAATCCCTCCTGCAGTGTGTGCAAACCTGGTGAAAAACTACAGGAAACGTTTGACCTCTGTAATTGCAAACAAAGGCTACTGTACCAAATGTTCAAATACTTATTTGCAGCTGTATCATACAAATAAATAGTTAAAAAAATCATACATTGTGATTTCTGGATTTTTTTTTTTAGATTATGTCTCTCACAGTGGACATGCACCTACGATGACAATTTCAGACCCCTCCGTGATTTCTAAGTGGGAGAACTTGCAAAATAGCAGGGTGTTCAAATACTTATTTTCCTCACTGTAACAGGATCTCAGCAAATAATCATCACTTATTCAGCCAAGTCATTGTAGCTATAAACCGTATTTAACATTTGGAAATATGTTAAAGGAAACCTGGGGGAGCCAGTTTGAATGGGCCTGAAGGAGCTGATAACATTAATATCAAGGGGCTATGCTTAGGTTTGTCAGAGTATGCTGGCCAGTACTAGCACAGACCCAGTCCAGACGTCTTTAGCAGCTCACACTAACCCAGGTGAAATACATGCAGCCTCAGCCAGTATCAGCACAGATGTACAGCCAGCATCACATACAAGCAGCTCAGACCCTCATGGAACAGTTGCTGCTCCACCACATGACCCAGCAGATTGGCCCCCATGCAGTCTGAACAGACTTCATGATTTTTCTTACCCTAAAGATAAGTCTAGAAGAAGTTTCCATTCGGGCTTTTTACAGAGACAGACTGTTTTAAAGGAGGGAAGACTGTAGTGACTACCGTGATGTGGAGATAACTATTTTTATAATCGTTGTTCTTTATGGATTAGTCTGCGGATTATTTTCTCCAGTAATCAATTGATTCTAAAAATAGTGAGAAATGTTATCACAATTACCCAGAGCCCAAAGTGACTGTAGGAGGATAAAGTGGCATGAAAAGTAAATGCAGCAGAGTGTTACAGTACTCACCACTGCCAGACAATGTTTTATTTTAATTTTCACAAGATTTAAGTCATCAATACGAATGATTAAAGCTGAGAGACTAACACATTGTTGTTTTTGGTGGAAGAAGTACTCAGATATTTTAAGTAAAAGTAGCAATAGCACAGTGTAAAAATAGTTTGTAACAAGTAAAATGCATTAAAAAATGTAGTAATGTATTAGCCTACCCATGTACATAAGTATTAGCATCAAAATATACAAGTAAATGCAGAATGGCCCATTTCAGAATATATAGACTAATATAGATTCATGAATGTATCACTTTAATGTTACAGATGGTAAAAGTGGGATTTAAATTACTTTATATACTGCTGTGTGGCTTAATCTATAATTTATTGTACTTTGCATGTTAATATTTTGCATTGATAATCTGAATGGAAAGTTTGTAACAAATAAATGCGGTGAAGTACAATGTACAATATTTCCCTCTTAAATGTAGTGGAGTAAAAGTAGAAAGGAACATAAAAACTTAAGTAAAGGACAAGTGCCTCAAAATAAGTCAATGTATTTGTTACTTTTCACCACTGCTGCTTACAGTAACACAAGTATGGGATAAAAAACAACTCCATTACTACCCTGACATCTGAATTGTTAACGTGTCTGTAACTTTACAGACTTGCATAGCAGATGTAATGACACACATTTCATTTGATGAAAACATAATTCTAAATTAAGGTAATCGTTCATTAGCACATTAAAACCACTAGGAGGCAACAGTAACTCAGCCACGCCCTCCCAGTGGAGGGATGACGCACTGCCTGTCTGTTTATGGAGTAAATTAAAAGTTTTTAGAGTGTAAGTGTAATTGATTATTTTATTGTAATCGATTCAATTTGGTTTGTGTGACTTTCACAATTGTTTGTCTTGTCCAACAAACAGTTCAAACTCTCAAAATTATCAAAAGAAAAGCAGCAAATCTTTACATTTGTGACACTGGACTAGGGCCGGGCAATTTAACAATAACTATGGCGATATAATTTTCCTCAATAACAATATAACAAATGTTCAATGAATGTTTGATTTAATTAATTTGAACAAATTAGCCCCTTTTTTCCTATTGATTTTTGTTGAGGAAAAGGGAATAAAAAAGATTTTACTTCATTTCACTCCTAAAGGTTTTTATCATAATTGTTTTTAGCCATCCACTGTTTGTGTTTGTTGTGAAAAGTTTAAAACTACAATTAATCATCTGGTTTCTTCAACTTTCTCTCAGGAGCAAAAATCAGCCTTTAAGCTTCAAAAAAAAAAAAAAAAAAAAAAAAAAAAAAAAATCGAATGATGTGAAATTTTATATCATAACATTTTTGGCCATATCACCTGGCCCTATAATGTGTTGAAAACTGACTAAGGATTATCAGAATAGTTGCCAATCAATTGATGAACTAATCTTCTTACCAGTACTTGTCTGTATTGTTAGGTACAGTAGGTAAATTAATAATAAATCAGCTTTTTGATAGATTTTTGTAATCCAAAACATAAGTGTGTAATGTAGTAGAGTAAAAATATTTGCCTCAGAAATGTAGTGGAGTAAAAGTACACTACTTAAATGTACGGAGTTAAATAAGTTACACCACCTCTCCTGTTATATTTGGTGAATATTAATATCAATGTTGTTGAACGCGACAAAAAAAGCTTCAGAGAAATCTGACATACAACTGAATCCGATTTAATTACTGTTGATTTTTAATGTACTTTTTCAATGTCATGAGTTTACGCATTTAAATTCCAGTCACCTAATTTGTCCTGGGACCTGGGAACCCCCAAAACCTGGGGGGAAAAAAAACACCACCAAAACTATCTGGATGGCTACAGTAGATCCCACCAGGAGGTACGTGGGAAAACTAATTATAAAGACTAACTGTGCAGTCTCATTCTGCTTCACTGAAAATGTGTAATACCATTAACTCACCTGCACATTTGTCTCAGAGCCATTCAATTTTGTATGTAGGCTAAAGCAAAAACAAAACCCTATTTAAAATTTCTTATGATTACTGTGCAAGATACAGTAGTGACAAATTAAGAAAAAAAACAATAACAGTTTTTTGTAGTCAGAAGAACAGCGAATAAAAGCTTTTGTTTCAAACTCATGAATTTTGAGCATTTTTGTAGCCTATATGTTGTTGAGCGTGAAAGGATGTCAATTACTTGATTTTTAATCATGCAGCATGGATGCATTTGTCATGTTCTTCCACTTATTTAACCAGATTATTCCTTCGATTTGTCATCCGTCTGTAGTATACTGAAATACAACAAGAATCAGTGAGTCAACTTCCACTTCTTTTAATTTTTCTTATAAAAAAAAAAAAAATGTAGACCTTGTGGACAGACCAGTTCACAAAAATCGAAATATTCAGACTCTCTAAAAAAACAGAATCACAACAAAAGAGTCCTTTTACCTAGGTTCATTTTCATACATACATCTCAAACTTTGTTCCTTTAAAAAAAAAAAAAAAAAGGAAAAAACGTGCCTTGCCTTTCCAACGAGCATCCGAAACAACCTTTACAAATGACTGAAAGAGCAAAAAGCACAAAGATACAACTTGAAAGTATTTCCAAAGGGAAACAAATAGATCTTAAAGCATAATGCTGCAAATACATTCTTTTTCCAGCAGAGACACAAAAACAAAAAATGTAAAATAAGCACTTTGGTCTTCCTCCTCAAACACAGACTATTATTATGCTAGCATTTTTTTTTATGAAGTTTCCGTTAGCAAAGTGCTAACTCATTAACTGAGGCAACAGCTTGTGTCACATTTAAGATGTTTTCTGTGGGCGTGAAAACTTCACGTACCATGTGGGCTTTACTTCAGAGAGTGATGAGAGCTAACAATCGCCTGAACAGCAAACACACATACTGTGTCAGGCAGGTGAGGTACAAACTAAAATTAAATGTGATGTAACTTTTCCTCCATTTCTAAATCTGTTTTTTGACATTTAAACAAGATGCAACTACTACTCTCCATTTTAAAACTTTTTTTTAAAAGTGCATATCTTCATTCATTTTCAGACATGTTTTAACTGTAGAGTTTAGAAACCGGTGGATCTAGCATCTACTTAGCTCTATTAGGAGTTTGATCAAATGTTGTGTAAAATCCACGGAATTTCTAAACTTGCTAAATTGATGGAACAGTTTAATTTTGACACAAATGGACCAAAAAAAAGTTCAGGAGCTTAACTCTTCATGCTGTTATGATATGCATACCAACTCATCCAACTTCTTTGTCAGAAGAGCCCCAAAAAGTTAACTTCAAATCAGTATTCAGCATTTTTCATTATGCATGTACTGTATCATTACTTCTTTATGATGGAACAATTTAACAGGGAATTTCCAAAAGAGACCAGACTGTCTGAAATCCCTCCCTTGTTCACTCATTCACTATTTTCTAGACAATAGTTTACTCTATAGTGAGTAGTAAATTGCTATTTTGGGCACTTTATGACTAACAGCTGTAGAGTACAGTAATTTTCACATCTATTAAAAAAAAAAAAAAAAAGGTTCCCTTGTTGGAATTTTTATAGAGCATAAATTTCTACCTCGGAAACAAAATGGCTGACAGTAAATGTGTAAATAAGGAGTGATTTCAGACACAAATTAGAGAGTAGTTTCAAATGCAGGGAATAGGCCAATGTCCTAATCTGCAATTCACAAAACATCATCAGGTTCTGCTAACGCAAGTAGTTTTAACAGATGTTGTATGAAATTGTCCTGAACCAGAGAGGACATGTACTACTTATACATACGTGTTGCCTGAAATTAAAACTCAGAAAAAGAAATAATGAAAAGGATATTTTCTGGTCTGTGTGCATTTTTCATTGAGTGTGGGATCCATATGAAGCTTTTTACACACCTGTGGCTTCAGAGGTTCTAGAAATGTCACCTATTCTGCATGTTCTGTTATTTCCATTAACTGGATGATTGTTTCTCTGCAGTGCTGATGTCGTCTGGCATTTTTCCTCTCCCACCAGTGAGAACAATTTTCTCAGGTAAGTCAAATTAAAACTTTTACCTACAGAACAATACTGTTAAAATAACATACACGTAAATGTAATTTATCTTAACATCTAGGAGCTGGTGTGAATTGGGAATGGTCAGTTGTAATTACATTTGAGGAACAGAGTTGCTCACCAAACAAACTTAATTTGAACATTTTCTGCACTAAACCTGCCAGATTTGAGATAACTACGTATCCTTGTAGCTGTGGTTTTATAACAATGTACCATTCCTCTGTTATCACAAGACTGGAGTAACGTGTGTATTTTTAAAAAGGTTGTAACAGTTTTGTTTTGAAACTTACTCAACATAATAACTTTAAGTTTAAGCTAATAAAACACAAATGCCCCATTTTTGCCTAAAATGAGAATGAAAAGAGACTGATGAGAACCTAAACCATCACGTTAAACATAATAACTTGTGCTTATAATAATACTAACACTTTTTGTAGACAGGTAAAATATAGCATCGGTTTATGTCAGAAGACACAAAAATGAAACAAACTACAATTCAAATAAACCCTAAGTCATAAACACTGAGTGGGTAAATAAATAGTTTGTGAATTGCACAAGTGTGAACGTTGAAGGTCAAAGCACTCGGATATGTCTAGATCGACGGATCAGTCAGACAACCGTGCAGTGAGTCAGTGTGAGTGAAGGTCAGCACTGTTTCTTTGTTTACTGTCACGATTTGATCTTCCACAGCTGCGAACAGGAAGAAAGACAAACGGGATTAATACACATTTTCTGCCTGGTTTATGGCCGTTTAAACACAGTGTAAAAGATGGTTCTGCAGTAATAATGATGTGTCTAGTTGTGTAAAAATATAGTCCATTACAAGTAAAAGAAGCCCTGCTGCACAATTCTACTTGCAAAACATACTGTTGGTGGTCAAGCCGAAGCACATTAACTGTTATGTACAGAGTATAGTAATGCATCATTATGAGCTGTAAAATAAAGAAACTTTTAACTATAGTTGTCAAATGTAGTGCAATTAAAAAGTAAACTATAACCAAGAAACAATAGTTTGAACGGTCAGTTGCTCTGCTACTTAAATTAAGGGTAGTACTTGAGTAAATGTTTTCACTACTGCTGTCCAGGCTTTTTTCAAAAACACCAGAAAGTGGTGCAGCAAAGTTCATCCGTGCGTCTGCGTGAAATGTGTGATGCTAGAAACTTGGGGATACTTGCATGGCTAGCCGGCTGCAATATGCTAGCAATAATCAATCACATTTTAGCTGGCAACCTAGCTGTCTCAGCCAGCGACATGACAGAAAGTTCAGTTTATTCAAGAGATGCATTTGTACCATTGACTTCTGTCTCGTAACCATTCATCTTTTGTGCATCAATTTTATCAGACGGTAAAACACAGCTAAAAAACACAAATCAAGAATTCTCATTTAAACTTTCTGGCTCTATGTTCGTTCAAAAGGTCAGGACTGTGACGACTTTTGGTCAACAGAGCGACTTTTGAGAGATCACCAATGTTGAACTTTCATGCAAAACAGTTACGCAGATTTATTTTGCCGCAACATTTAGCCGTTTTAAACCAGAATTTATAACAACAAAATGTCAGGAAATAAAATCAGTTAGTTGATGTATTAACAGCTTCACGGGAGATGCAGACTGGTCTTCAGTCAGTTACTATATTCACAGTCTCTGAGGACAAGCACAGGGATTTTTGCTGCGCCACTTTCTCACTGACTTGAGGCAGAGCAGCAAAACAAAACCCATAAACCTCTCTGTCTCGCACACCCGCACTTACCTTCAGGTTAAAGCCTAATAGGTCAGATATGACTCCCGACACGGCGGACAGGATGACCACCTGGGTGATGTTGTAGAGTAGAGGGTTCATAGTCAAACCATACAACCTGAAAGGAGTGTCCAACTCCTGGAGAGAGAGGAACAAACAGTTCTGTCAGTATTAGAACAAACAGGATGCTCTGCTTTAAATGGTAGCATGTAAAAAATAAAAAAAAAACCCTGATAACTAAAGGGTTTTTAAAGGAGTTGTGAAGATAGACAGTACCTTGAGTAGTTTGGTAGCCAGTTTCAAGACATTGTTGACCAATGTCAGCTCCTCTTTCTTGTTTGGCTTCTTCTCCATCTTGAGATACAGGTTGATCTGTGAAACGCATTATGGAGCAATGTCTGTGTTAATGACCTGTCTGGTGTGTGTGTGTGTGTGTGTGTGTGTGTGTACCTGTTCAGTGAGCAGTATGGAGGTGTTGCTGTACTTCTTGCTGGTCTCGGAGCCCAGGGTGACGAACCTGAGCAGGAACAGAGACAGACTGGAACACCAGATCACCAGCTCCCAGTTATAGTGACACTCCAGGAACGTTTCATGGACGTGGAGCAGCTGGAGGAAGAGAGGAAAGTTATTATGTCATTCAGTCTCAATTAAAATATTCAGCACCCAGTCCGTAACGTATAGTTTACTTTAGTGTATGTTCCTTTATTAAGCCACTATGTGTAGAATTTGAAGGTCGCTGACTTTGGCGCCCATGATGACATAAAGACACTGCGACAGACTCAACTAGTTTTCACTGAGATTGCAGAAAGATGACATAGGGTTGCTTACATTTAAAAATCCATTCAAAACTTTGAGGGAAAGTAAAAATCTAGACTTTAGCTGTCAAGGTAGCCCTTAAAAATGTAACTACACATAAGGGCTACAGAGATGCCACAGGGACCACAAGAACTTTGATTGGTCAGCTTGAGTTTTTGCCTGCAGGTTACCAATGCTAGTGGAGATTCTTTATAGTGAAGAGCCCACTAAACAAATTGGAGTCAAACTGAACCTTTACCAGCATTTCTGAAGCAGCTACTCTGTAACTCGATACATAACTATAAATCCAGCTAATTGTACATGTTAAAATAACGTACAGCCACACTAATGCTCTTATTTTTTTGGCCAGCATGCATCTTATGAAGATTTAACAGACGCAGCGTGATTACTGTTTCTCAGATAGATGAACCTCTGTTCTATTTCATTCTTCCTGACCACCAGAGGCAGAATAAATCTATGTATTTCACATGCACATTATGGAAATCCAGGCATTGCATAGTGTCTCTAGCATCAGTCCACTCCCACCCTGACCGCCTTTTTTAATTTTTTAGTTTTTAACCGCCTTTTTGACCGCCTTTTTTAGTTTTTAATAAAGCTAAACTCATAATATAGTTGCTCTCATTTGCATGTTCTCATGTTTGTTGTTGCACCGTGATATGATCTTGGCTCATGAATGTTATGTTAACCAGGTAGTAAGCTAACCTGTTTAATGTGGATAATTTCAACATTACCTGGGCACAGCAGATGAAGACGACAGACAGAGTGAGCAGAAAGGCAGATGACACGATCACATCCACTGAACGCTGAGGACCCCGTCTCTGCAAATGCAACAGAGTTTCGTTCATTACAGCTGTGAATGTTCCTAACTCCCAAATGAACAGATACATTCGTAAAAGGATGCTAATTCTTCCCAGTTATTTACAATTGTTCACAAAATGAACAGTCTATAGAGAAAGTAAACTTCCATCACTGATAAGTACAGCTACTGTGCATTTCTAAAAGGGTCATCAGTGAGGTACCTTGAGGTAGGAGCGTAGCGACAGCCACATCTTGATGTTCTGAACTTTCTTCAGTCTAAAATGGGGGACTTCAGACTTCCTGGCTCTGCGGGCTGAAGTCAGGTGACCAAACAGCTTGGCAAACAGTAGCCTCTGAAATACACACATGTGACCATTAATAGATAAATCTGCCCATGAGGTAAATACTGCAACTTCACCATTAAAAGCACTAATTCAGAATTTCATTGTCTTACCTGTTTGTAGGTCCTCTCTGCTACGCTGAGCAGGAAGAAGAAGAGCCATATAAGGCAAACGCGGACCAGGAAGCTGAGTGTCACCATGGTGATCACCAAGGCATCTGATCCAGATCCGCCTCCCAGCGCCACCGACAGCAGCTCATTGGCTGAGAGCATGGTCAGCTGATCCAAGTCACGGTACTGAGCCAGTCTGCAGGAAGTACAAACAGCCAACGTTCAGATTTTTGTACTTTTGAAATTGTTAGTGAGCATTACACTCTGTAATATGTAGTATCTTATTAAGAGAAAAAAAAAAAAACTCAGTTTGTTATTGCAGTATCTTTAAATATTTTCAGTTTTTCCAATTTCCAGTCCAGTTGTTTTTAGCGATTAAAAGAAGGTAGGGATCAACAGATATGTTTTCCCCCCGGGCCGATCTCGATTATTAGTAACCAATTAGACCGATGGCCGATACGTGGAACTGAACTAATCTTTATAAATAGTAAATTAAATGAATTAGAGATCCACCCCAGAGTGATAAATTATAAACTCTGCCATTTATATCGTATGTATTTTATATTGTTAGGATTTTATTGATACATTTATTACTATTTTTTGGTTGTGTTCTTTATCTATACTTATTGTTTTTTCATTATTAAATAATTGCCTTTTAAAAATGTTATTTAAAAAATAAATTCAGAACAGTAATCAAATTTAATATTATAACTGTTTTCAGAGCAGCAACAAAAAGTTAAGTTTACAGCAGCAATGTCACTACACAAGATCACTATCTCACTGGAAACAAATGGAACATGTTAAATAAACTAAATTCCTGAAAATACAGAGTAAGGGGTTGTGTCCACCAAAGCGTTTTTTTACCAGTTGAATATGCCTAGCTGGGAGTACTAGGGTGCGTTTTGGAGGCGCAGCGTTTTTTCGGATGAGACGCTTTGGTTGCTATGATACAAAATATCCATGGAGGTGATGTGCTGCAAGTAGGCTACTTAGTTTTACTAAATATAAAAATTAGGACTGGGCACGTTATCAAGTTTTTAAGCAAGTAAAGTCTGTGCGAGTGAACACATGGACGACCGCTACACATTGTCCATCCCGATGTTTGAATGTAGACAACATTGTCCCCACCCTACTGAACATAGTATTTCTGCTGCTCCCTGATTAAGATACCTGCTAATACCTGTTCAGAAAAATATATAAGAAAACTGGACTCTGGTAACTTGTTTTAACAAGCTATATAAAAGGTAATGCCCTGGCAGTGGCAAATAGCTTTGGTTTAATATCTGATTTACATTAATGTTTAGGTAATATTATTGCTACTGTGTAAAGGGAATACTGCTGGTAAAAAGCACGTTATTGCACTTTTGTGTACATAGCAGTACATTTAAATTACAAGTGCGCAATACACTACTTTAGAATTCATTGTTCAATTTTGCGTGTAACAAAACGATTAATCGCAAAAAAATCATGTGATTAATTGCGATAAAATTTTTTTACTGTTGCCCAGCACTAGTAAAAATGTCACCAAAGTAGGGTAGGCCTACTTGCTCTGGCCCTTGCTCTGCATGAAGAGAAGGCTGACACATAGAGCGAGGGGACGGACTCGCGGTAAGTGGGTTCATGAGATTTTGTGGTTCAAGACCTGAGATGGCTCTGTGTGGTTTGTCCCGCCCCTCCTGCAATGTGATTGGACGGCTGGGTAAAAAGTGACACTGACGAGTGCTGTATTTTGCCCAAAGTTGAACATTTTTCAACTCTCGGCAACCGGAAAAAAATGCCTCTCTCAACAAGCAGCTGAGTTTGCAAGGAGTTGCTAAATTTTAAGATACGTTGCATCTCAGCTAAACAGACTATAGCCAGAGAGATTTAGCTTGTTTATAACTAGCTATTAGCCGAGCTAGCACATGTGCTTGTGTAAAAACAAAACAGCTGCAGTGGATGAGACAGATTAAATATCACTTGTTGTACTGATGCAGTATCAGCATTTTAGGAGTATTGCTGTTTTTGCTGCACTTACAGTAACGGGCGTAGTTATGGTCAACTTGTGTAGTCTCCGCTCACTTCGCTCTGTGTGTGTGTATTTGCGGAGCCCTGCTGAGAGGAGGGGAGGGGCTGCAGCGTGATGGCTCGCTCGTTCTATTGGCTACTTCCGCACAATAGTCAGTGTTGATAGGCTATTACTTGTGACTTGTAATCAGCTAGTACTGTGGGCGGGAAATTGCTCCAGCACACAGAGGGGTGAGTACAGACAGAAGCGGCTGCATCAGAGCCAAAGGAGTGCATTTTTTAAATTAATTGATTATATCGGCTATCTGTTTTTGAAATGACCGATGCTGAGTATTGGAAAAATGCTGAATATCGGCGCCGATAATCGGCCAGGCTGATTATTGGTCGACCCTATTTGAAAGCTTGTACAGCTTGAGAGGAGTTAAGTACCTGTATGCAAAAGGTGTGAGGCCGAGTGTCACTGAAACCAGGTTCCCAAACACCTGGTAACCAATACCAGGAGTGTAGAGATTCACCTGTGCAGGGAGGCAGACGAACAGAAAGTAGTGTGGTTACATTTGTTTTTTAACCCTCCTCTGACACTAGGAATGTAATATGTATGTAGAAACTCACTTTGTTCATGATCATGCCACTGATCTCCAGGACAGACATGTCAGCCTTCTTACACTCGTTTCCCTCCCACACTATGGCGCTCACTCTCTCCAGGCCGGGGTTGGAGCTGTGCAACCAGGGAACGTGACCCTGAGGGGGGGAAAAGTTATATACCACAACATCTACATTATTATTGACCACATATTTACTGCAACCTCTCTGCCCTGTAGTACTATGCTTTTGTGGTTTGCAGGTCAGAAGACATCCTGGTTGAAAACACTGGTCGTTTCCACAGCATTTAATGACTCTTTTAGTGTTAAGCAGGACATTTGTTTAAATATAATTATTTAAATGCTGTTGAAATAACAGCTACATGTAACTTGACGTCTGACAAAAACTCTTCTGTTTTAAATATTTAAAACTGCAAATCATCAAAACTTTACTTTAACCCAAGAGAGCGACATGTCTTATCTAGGAGGGTTCACATACCTGATGGAAAGGGTCGTCTCTATATTCCTTTTTAGCAGGGGGACAGACGGGTGTCCCTCCTCCTTCTCCCTCTGTAAAGAAAAGGCATCACAGTATTAGTTTCAATACAAAATTTAAGTTTATCACTGAACAGGGGACGCAGGTTAAAATGACTTTAGCAGGTACATCAGAACAACAAAAAGCATTTTATAAACTACATTTTTATTTTTGCTGTAAATGTTTTTGCTAATGTCTTCTTCTGACCCGTCTCTGAGGTGCACGATGATCTGCACTCGGCACAGTGCAGGAAGTCCTCCCACATCAGGTCCTCTGTCTCGGACTCGTGTCGAGTGCTCTCAGAGTCCTGAGTCCTCAGACTAGAACATCTGGAGCTGCAGCTGGTGCCGGACTTGGGGACGTCCTGACAGGCAGAAGGGAGGTTTGTTACTTTGTGAAAAGTCTGAAATGACACCTACGTCCTGTTCTCTCTGATAGACTGGATAAAACTGCTTTGAAAGGTTAACATGTTGCCTTCAGCGTGTGTTTACCTCCACAGCATAGTGTTTCTTGTAGTGGTGCGTATTCTTGCGGTTTCGGAGCGCACAGTCACTGTTAATCCTTTCAACTCCCCTGCGCAGGGTGCTGTAAGATGCTTCAGGGTCCTCCTCACTGGACGCCTCATCTGATGCTGGCTCCTAAAACATAGAAAACATCTATCAACTATTTTGAAACATCAGTTAATACTCAAACAGGACTTCTGTTTGTGATTTTATGGATCACCTTATTGCCGCTTGCCAGTATCAGTCCCGTGCTGCGGGGTGCCTGAGTGTGCGCGGGCTGGACGAGAGGGTTCCAGCACACCTCGTCGGCCCTGTTTAGTGAATTACATCGCTGCTCGTGGAGCTGAAGGCCCTCCTCGCTGCTGCGATTGGTCACGCGGCCGTCCAGCGACACGTAGCCGTTGTCTGTCTCTGTCGACTTGTCGATGGACAGCTTGGACTTCTTAGATCTGAAGCAGGACGCAAAGGAAGGAAGATGGGTAGAAGAAAAGGCGAGTAGGGTAGAGCAGGAGAGATCGATAGAAAAAGATGGACACGTATAGACAGACAGATAGAGACAAGAGATATTTAGATAAAAACACAGCAAGGCAGTGAATTTACCAGTAATGAAGTTCAGTCTCAGAAGCAGACATGCAGTGAGATAAGACAGGTTGCATTCAATACAACACTGGGGAACGTTCAGACTAAATGAATGCCAATACTGGAGAGAAAGTGTTGCATAAAATGTGAGCTGCTGCTGTACTAACAAAGTTACTAAATGAATGCATTAGGGCTAAAATCACTGAGCATCAAGTATGCTAACTATATTATCCTAAACCTAGCGTGTTTGGAAATTTAAGTTGGTCTGATTTTCTCACAAAATGTAATTTCTTCCTCAGATGGGAATTAAACAAGTTAAAGTTAAAACGGTGAACATGTGAGTAAATCAGAGGATTAATGAATGGACCATTGAGAGAAGTGACCTGACAGAGATGGGTGCTGAAGAGTGTGGCACTAGACGAAGTAAACAAATCAGGAGTTCTTCAGTGCTCAGAAACGTTCCACACTGTTGCTGTCTGCTGAAAGCTGGTCAAAGTAGAGGCTTGGGGAGAAACAGTGGCCTGTGACCGTCGAAATTCAATTCATAGGCATTTAATTGGGTTAATGTTTAGCCTGAGAATCTTTAGGATAATTAATGTACTTGTATTTTTTTCCCTAGCCAAGAACCGCACCCCAGTCTTCTTTTGAACACAGCTTGGGCAGCAAGCCATATCAGCTGCAAAATCCTTCCGTTCCTCACTGAAAAGTGTGGCACCAAAGATTACATTGGTACATTTCGGTAGCTCGGGAACCAACTGATCTAAATGTTGACATCAGAGGTTAATAAATTAACTAGCAGGTCAGAAGAATGGTTTTCCAGTCACAGATGTCTTTTTTTTTTTTTATTCAGTTCATTTGAGAAATTGGTTTCTCCATTTCTGGGGAAGATAAAACTTAACATGATAGCAGATGAAGTGATGTTGCAGCTGAAGAAGCCTTTTTAGGTCTGAGTCGAGGCTGGGATTCAGTTTTTGATGTATGTTTATTTAGCGGTTGGACACAAATTTGTGTAACATTTCATAATTTCACAAAATTCCAGATGAGGAATTCACTGGTTTTACCATAAAAACAATTTATTCCAATTGGATCATTTATGAACTGAACCCCAGCCGCTATCTTTGTACATCATCTCTCTTTAGGAAGATGGGAAACGAAAATACACACCCAGCTTTACAGATATCATGCCAGAAATCTTGGAAGAGAGCGCCCAGGCTGTATGTGGTGCTGGCTGAGTGGGAGTGTGGCGCCCCCTCCTGTGTGTTATCGGTAGTGCTAGACCCGTCGCCTTCCCTATGCACCTCCATCTGAGATGCCTTCCTCAACTTCCTTCAGTTTGGAAAGAATAGAGGGGTGGAGAGAGACTTAGAGCGGACCTGGAGACTAAGAATACCTGAAACTACAGCAGTGTGTCCACCAGGAACCTGGCTGCATTTTTTTCACTGTAATAGTAAATTTTTAACCTGGTGCTACCAGTAAAACAAAAATATATGAACTTTAACAGAAACTGAAGTTTCAAAGAGCAAAGCACTGATGCAGCACTGGTACAAAAAGGCACCTGCTGGACACACAGGCTGATACAGTTAAGAGGCAAATTCTACCAAAATCCTCTTTTAGGTTGCTATTCTGCAAAAGTAAAAAAGTAGTAAAAATGTGGGTGTTAAATGCGATAAATTTTCCAATATTAAGAGGAAATGAAATCTGAAGACATGATCAGGGGTGTCAAAGAGTTTTTCATGGATGGATATTGTCCTGTATTCCTATCAAGGACAGGAGTTGTGGGGTTTGGGGGACAATTTGACTAAAACTACACATTTTCACATAATTTTACACCTATTACAATATTTATTAAAAACACACACACAAACTTTTTCACATTACACTTAGACATTAGCAAGAAAAAAGCTGAAACAATTCTCACTGATAGTAATATGTAAGTGATCGCACTGTGTGCCATTAACAATATTAATCACAAGATAACATTGGTTAAACAAGGCTTATAGTGAAGGGATTTGAACTGCGATTTGCTCATCCCCCCAAAGTCAGGGTGAAGCCACTAACCAGCTGTAGGTGTGGGTATTGTTAGGATCTTTATCTTATCCATCCTCTTATCACCCAGTTCTTTTTCCATTACTAAAGAATTAGGTTAAAAAGAATGAATTCAGAACAGGTTTAGAACTGATTTATATTTTTAATATATTGTTTGTTGAATAGCAACAGTAAGGATTGACTTTTGCAGGATATTAATATAAAAGTTAGATTTGGCAGAATTGCTCTTTAAAGACTTAATACAGGACAGAGGTGAAGGACAGCACTTTTTTGGTTTTCAAATTACAATGCAGGATAAACAGGATGTTCATAAAGACTTTCACCTATTACTGGTAAAATAACTGCTGATTGTGAATCATGAGATTGAAATTGCTGATGTAACAAAAATGAATAAATTAATAATTAAAATATAATCCAAAATCTATCCAAATTAGGGGGGGATGTATGTACCAGGTAAAGCAACAGTGAACACACAGGGTGCAGATGTTGGTTTTAGTTGTTTTAAAAATGGAGAAGGGTCCAGCTGCAGCCTGCAGAAAAATGTGACGGAAATTGAACTTCCATATATGGTTTGTCCCAGAAGCCACCGCGCGCAAAACGTGATGACGTTTATCTCCACCGCTCGGCCCACGCATAGCTGTTAAAGTTAAAAACGAGGTGTCAAGTGTCAACGTAGTAATCAGTGTACGTTATGTGTTAATATTTACTATAATTATATATTAATGTTCTTGGGGAGCTAGCTAAGGTAATTTATGTTTAATGTAACTCTCAAATCAAGTGAAAACAGTTATGTTTGGCAGCTAAGTTTACCTAGCTGGTCCCCTCTGGGTTAAAGAAATGAGTTCTTATTCAAGTTCTCCTCAACTTAGTCATTCAGTTAAGATGCAATCTTGTTTTAACCCATATTTGGAAGTTCAACTTCAGTAACGCTGCATTGGTGTTTGACAGGTAAGCCTCATAGGTGGGCTGATTCATCAGTGACGATCCGAGTCGGACAAACACACTGAGCCATGAGACTTTGTTGGCGCAGCTATGCAGCTACCAGAATTACGGCGTTTCTGCCGTTGTTCTACGTCAATAAACCACAGTTATGCTGCGTTATCATGCGCAGTAGACACTGGTGCCAACAGGAAGTAGCCCGGTAGTAGTATTTTATTGGTCCAAAACTGGCTTCACTGCTCTCCATTCTAATCAGCGGGGCGGCTTCGTCCAGTAATATACAGTCTATGGTCAAGGCAGTGGCTGATTGTCAGCAATATTAAAAATCATTATTAGTCTATCAGAATACGCTACCCCTGATATCTTAAATAAACATGGCATAATATAGTATTTCAACATGCTCCCCATCTCCTTACAGTACAGTTGGAGTGAGTAGTGGTGTAATATGAAGTGATTCTGTAGTGGGAGCATCATTTGATAGGGGATATTAGTATCAGAATACGCTACCCCTGAAATGATGTGTATATATATAATATAATCAAAAAACAGAAGATGTCATAATAATGAGAGAGTTACAACTTTATGGGATTGGAAAAGGAAACCCATAAGTTCCTCATTTTTCGATAGGGCAGAGCGACTCTATTTGCGCTACGGTTAAGTCAAGGCAGCATATATCGTCAGAACACCGGCTCAACATCGTGATGTCTGTCAGCCTTCGCCAATGGAAGATCGTCTATCGGCCCAACCCTAATCCAAATATCACCAACATTTTTCTTTCAAAAATGTAAATGGGCTAATGACACGTGAAGTGTCCTGTAAAATTTGGCAACTGCTGTTTAATGTGGACAGCAGATTATTATTATTATTGTCTTTGAGATGAAACATCTATAAGACTTGGATGAGGATACGAGAGACAGAAATGTATAGAGGAACACTATCTGCATTAAAAATAATCGTACCGGTTTCCTGATTTTTCGAAGTAAAACAGAACCAAGGGTGATGCAATGAAGGTCACCATTACCGCTCCCTCACACTCAAACCTCCCAAAACCCCTTTCCAAAACCGTGGCATGGATCAATTTTCCTCCCGAGAGTCTGAAAATTGTCTTTACAGCATTTTGAACAAGAAAACAGCAGCCGCACACTGACGAGCGTTAAACCAACAAAGAGAAAATCACAAACTGCAAGTCTAAAAACTACAAAACACACCAAGTAAAGCAAGCTACTTTCTGCTTTCACACACAATAAATCCCGCTTGTCTTTATCCAGTGACATAAGATTTATCATGGAGAGATTTCATTAAAGATAAACGTGCCAATTCACAGAACTCATTATCAATCAAATGACTTGTCACTTTGGGATGAAAACGCCTGATTTTCTGCCAGGCATGTAATCTAGATACAATACAAAGGCTTTTTTTCAAGTGTCAGTTGAAACTCTTGCCCATAAAAGATCCTTTGAATAACAAGGAACCAAATTACTGGCGTTTAGAAAGATGATACTAAATTAAGTCACAAAGCTGAGGCGTTGATAGAAACTTGTTGAAAATATCTCCATGATAAACATGCTGCTGTTCAGTTTGATTTTTAGTGAAAGAAGTGGCAGAAAGCAAACAACAAGGGCAAATGCAATTCAGCAACAAAAGATGTATTCATAAACTTCTTTCCACAACTGTCTTCCTCCACTCTTTCTGTCTTGTGCTTCCAGTGCCTCCTTTTTTTTTATTAAACAGAGGGACTTTCTGAGTGCAGTGTCCGCTAATACTTTGTTTTGATTAATCTATTCCTCACTCCCTCCTGCATCCATGTTGTCCTCCTTTTCCTCACTTCCCTAACCATCATCTCATCTTTATTGCCTCCTTTCCTTCTTCCATAATGTCCTCATGTCCAACATCTTCCCTTCCTTCCTGCTTTCCTTCTTCTTTCCTTTGCCTGATCTCTCCCCTCGTATTATTTTCTGCGCCGTTTTTCCCCGGGCCGGTTTCACAGTTTCTTTCTTTTCCCGTCCTTACCTGCGTCTCTTCCCCCCACTGCTGGAGGCAGGTTTCGGGGTCCTGGTGGAGACGATCTGACAGTGGACGGTGCCCAGCAGCAACATGAGCCAGATGGCTCCGAACACCTCGGTGGTCGGTATCCCATGAGGCTGAGGGATGATGACATACAGGACTGCTGCTGCCACTGCAGGAGAGAAAGAATTAAGTATTCATTAAAATATTAGAACGACCACCTAAGTATATTTGGTGACCCATTTTAGCACTTTGCAGAGAATGACAAAGAAGAGTGTTATTTGTATTATATTAGAAGGAGCGGACACAATTTTACAAGCACGAACCAGGTAAAGCATTCAAGTAGTGAGTGAATGGTGAAATAATAACCCACTAGAAATCAAAATATTTTTCTACATATAAATGTTATTCTTTAGTTGCCTTTACTTTAGTGTTAAATCAAAGGGAAGGTGTGTTTTTATGCAGTACGTTAGGGAAGTGAGCAGGAAGGGCGGAGGGTTGGAGAGAGAGAGAGATAAAAAAAATAACCATCTGTTTTTCATCAGAGTTGAAAAGGACATCATGATGTAGGTGGAGGAAAACGCTGTTCAGTGGTCTTGAAATTGTTTGTGCAGCTCTGTGGGCGTAACACGGGAGCTCTCTATTCTCACAAGATACTGTGGACCGCATGTGTATTTTAAGAAAAACAGCAGAACAGACCGTTTAATATCTTGTGAACTCTTGGCAGTAGAAGATTTAAACATCCAGAGGATCAGTTCAGCCAAGATACCAGATTAGTGTTTCCTTCGTGAGACGAAACGAAAACGAAATGTTTGTCAACGACCTTTTCCCCCTGACTAAAACGAGATGGCGACAATGTACGCTACACCTGTGACTATATTAACATGCAATATTGTTGACAAAAAATGAAGACACTAAAATGTTATTCATAAAATAAAAACAATAAAATCTCGTCAGTTAAATGAGACGACAAAATATTACAGGCCATATTTTCTCCCTCTAAATTTTCACTTGAACAGTGTTCATTCAGCTGTATTTTTTTCTTCCTGTGCTTTGCATGCTGGCCGACCGCGGCAACTCTATTAAAACTAGGAATTGTAGATATTAAATGCAATTAAGCATGACTTTGCAACTGTATGACCCATTTCTAATATTTAATGAACATGATGAATGAACCTTACCTTGCAGCAGATAGAGAGCCAGCAGTAAGAGGAAAATGGCTCTGGAGGTGACCTGGATCCACCATCGATAAAAGAATGGGAAGAAGACGACTCTGACGATGCCTTTCCTGGTCAGTGACGTCCACGGACTCTCTGGTTTGGCCTTGGCAAACGCCGAACCTACGGAGGAAATACACACTTAGTTTAATGAGGCGAACTTCTTAAGCCAAATGACTCATCACTTAATACATCCTGAAGTCATATTAGAGCAGGGGTTTATCTTTTAATCTTCTCTCCCCTTTCTGTAGTCTTTTTCATCTCTGCATTTCATCTCGTTCATCTAATCTTTTCCTCAGTTTATTTCTTGATTATCTGTCTGTCTTCCTGTGCAGTCAAATAACAATGAGGATAAGTTTGACTGATTCGATGAATAATTGAAAATGTGAAGAATATGAGACAGATAGGAAGACATGAGAACGCAGATAGAGCGAGGGTTAGGGGTGACATGGCAGCGTTGGTATATCAGGTTCGTGTGTGAGCATTTTATGTTGCCGCCACTGAGCAGACAATGAGTGTCTGTTGGATTTTAGCTTTAGCAGAAGGCCTATCTAGTATGAACTTTTTATTATTCCACAAACAGAGGTGCAAGTATAGAAAATAGGGAAAAGCCGGTAAGTTGTACTGTTGCTGTAGTTCTTGGACTGTATGTGGAGACTAGGGCTGGACAATAAAACAATAATTATCGCGATAATTTTTCTCAATAACAAATGTTCACTAAATGTTTAATTTTATTCACCTAAATCACACACAAATTCGGACTTAATTTTTTATTAAGATGTTTCTTTGTTGAGGAAAAAGGACTGAAAAAAGTTTTTTACTTAATTTTACTTGTGCATATTTGTTGACAAAGTTCATAATTGTTTTTAATGTTCTACCTCAGATTTGTGAAGTGATTCACTGTTTGTGTTGACCATAAAGAAAAGTTTAAACCCCAATTACCCATCAGGTTTCATACGGCTTTCACTAAGGGGCAAAAATCAGCCGTTAAACTCGAAAGAAATAACGATTTGATACTTATCGTGATAATTATAGATGTCAAAAGATATGAAACCTTTTATCATGATAACATTTTTGGCCATATCGTCCAGCCCTAATGGAGACCATTAGTAAGCAGATTCCATTGTTTGACCATACTGGGTAGTCCACTGTACGACAAGAGCCTGTCTGGTATCTAATACAATTACCTTGATAGAAAGGAAGTCTACGCGCACACACAGTTTTTACTCACCTCTAACCAAGTCCACGTCTATAAGGTCTGGTTTGACATGTCCCGTCTTCTTTGGCTTGTTCCTCAAGCCCTGCAGGGGGAGACAGAGACACACAGAGTCGATGCCAGACAAAGAAAGAAACAGAGATACATTTATCACACACACAGGAACTCATCTACAGGAGGCTTCTGGTGCACTTTATGCCTTCATAAACACACACACATTGAGTGTTTGAGGAGACACCACGTGCATTCAGGCTCACACAGCTACTAGCTTCTCTATTTCACTGCATGTGCATCTACTCAGGTCATCTTCAGTGAGTCGAGTGTCTTTCGCTACTTTTCATTCGTTAAAGAATACAGAGGAACTCAAAGGACCTTTCAGTCCTTGAAATCAGCTGCATCATTTCAAAAAACAGTGTTATAGCTGACATTCATCCTTGTGAGGTTTACTGTTTTTTAGCTTTAAGATTGGTCCCTTCTGTAGTTTATAACCCTGGGAATAACATTCCCCTGTGGCAAGCTGACATCCTGTTCCTGTCACTTCCTACTATGATGCATACACTTCAGTGTGTGTATGTGTGTGTCACTGCTCTGTCAGCTGTGATGAAGCTTTGTATGTGGTGCATGAGAGTCTTTCTGTGCAAGTGACAGCAGGAACAGTAAATACAAGGGATTTTAAAGGTGTGTGTGCGTGTGTGAGAGAGTTACTGCGGTGAGCAGCCTGACAATAGGTTTTAATGAAGTTTCCGATCAGTGACTCTGGGTAAACACAGATATGACCACAGTGCTGTGTGTACATGTGAGCCACACACACGCGCACACACACACACACACTTTAGTTGATGATCGTGTGGTGTCATATTAAGCTGCACTTAACTTTGGTCATGTTGCAAGTGTTTTATTATATTTTATTTTACTATAAGTTTTGAATCACCGGCTACAAAAGCTTGATTCGGTAATCTCAGATGACTGAGATGACTACTGTATATATTTCAATGGTTGTTCGTGCTTACAAATACAATTATTTTTTAATGCAAAAAAAAGTAATGTTTTGTACATGGAAAACAAAACACTGTAAAATGGTTCAACCAGACTGACAACTAAAAGAGACAAAGATACCTCAGAGCAAGTTGTTAGGTTCTTAAAATGTCAAAAACAGGTTAGTTTAGGGTTATGGAATATCAGCTTAACATACTATGGATTGACAAATCACATTTTAAACCTATTAAATCAAACCATTGAGTAGACTGCAGATGGCCCAAAGAAACGAGGGTTACTTACGCTTTTCCAGACTGGAAAACAAATTCAAAATTGCAGGCTATTGGAGGGGGGGGGGGATTGTTTACGATATCTTTAATCTACTGAATATTTTAAGGATGTGAGTCAACAGCACTGTGAAGCTGTCCACTTGAATCTTACTGGCTCATGCCAATATTTACATACCGGCCAATCAAGTTCTTTGTTATCAGTCAATTGTCTGATACAGGAGGCTTGATGAAGGCCCTTATCTTTAAATAGCACAACCAGTGAGCTAATACAATGTGTGAGTGAGTGTGTGAGAGAGGGGGAAAATGTGAGTGTAGAAGAGCAAGACAGGGGTGTGTGTGTGTGTGTGTGTGTGTGTGTGTGTGTGTGTGTGTGAGTGTGAGTGAGAGAGAGTGAGTGAGAGAGTGATCAATAGCTCCCTCTTGGCAGTAGATTTACCGCAGTCCTTCATAAACATCTCGCCTGAGCATGGCTCCCTTATCTCTGCGCTATTCATAGCCTCTTATCTTTTCAAAATACTTTTCTGGCAGTTACAAGTTATGATGTTGCCTCAGTGACTGAACAGTCCAACATGTAAAAGTTAAAAACAGTGACTCTTTGCTCTTTTCATATCTTTTATATCATTAAAGGATGCTTGTCATGTATGCTCATTCGTCTGTTACACTATTTGCCACACACCAAAAACTGTATATATTTAAAAAACAGAATTTGAACCAAAACTCAGCAGAATATATTGTCGTTTCCCATTTGCACCAGCAGGTGGCAACTGGGTTTACATCATCCAAGGTAGCAGCAGGATTATATCAGTCAGTCAGTTTGGGTTCATTATTGCAATTAGAAAACAGCAGAATTGATCATGTATGTGCTCGACCATGGGTTATTTTGTCAGAGCAGTTATAAATGGTGGAATAAAACTGCTGTAATATAATATTTATTGTCTTTTGCAAGATCAGAAAGGGAACAAAAGGCAACACTTTAAATGAACACACACTGCTGGGCTCATTGGTCTTTAAACCATTCCGTAATTAATCAATAATGCATGTCACTAATCTCACCTCTCTGTTTACATGACAAGAGGTACAGTATGAGGGAAGTAGGGACAAAATGTAGAAACTGCCAAATTAAAACAAAAAAGAAGAAAATGTAATCCTGCCCTAAAATTTATTAAGAAGCCTTTTCAGGTCCTTGAACTTCACCAAGGGAACGTTAGATATATTAAAATCTCTAATTAAATCTGAAAAGGGAGTAATGAAGTTGTCCTCTTGTAAAGTTCAAAGGTGAGAGGTCACAGCTGACAGGTGAAGAGGCTCTAATTATACACAGGTTTGAACTAAGGAGTTGCTTTAGGCCCTGCACTCACACAAGCACGCACAAACAATATTTTGTCCCATTAAGCTCTAATTTTAACTGTCTGTTAAGAGTTGTAGAAGACCAAGGTTTCGCACGCTGCCTGGAGCCGACCTTGGTCACATGACTCATGCTAATACAGCTGTGCGTTCATACCAAAAGCAACTCCGGAGGCCACAGCTGCTCAGTTCCCTCATTTGTCTACGGGGAAATGTTAGAAAAACGACTTCTTCCTGCAGCCAATCACAAAGCAGTGTGAACACAGAGTGGGGTTAATAAACACACCAGGATTTGACACGGCAAGTGAACGGAGCGATCAAACCAACCAATCACAGTCTAGCAATCTACGAGGTGGGTGAGCAGACGTGCACTGTGGGACAACAAGAGGGACGTCCTCCCCGCCGTATACTCACCAGAGAAATAAACTGTGGAGGAGGAGGAAAAGACGAGATGGAGAAGAAGGGATGGAGATGAAGAGAGGAGAGATGGGCAGGTGACACCCAGCCAGGAGGGCAGAGAGGAAAGAGTTAAAAGAAAAAACACTGGCAGCATGGTGACAGTAAAAACAGGCTCAAAAGGAGGAAAGATGGAGGAGTAAAAGAGACTACAAAAAAAAAAAAAAAAATAGACTTCACAAGGTGAATAAAAAGGAATCGAGGAGGACAGACATTTAGAATAAGCAGGGCATAAAGAAAACAGGAAAACAACAGTGAAGTAACAGAAAGATGGAGGTGTAAAGCAAACAAACAATGAACCAAATTTACCTTTATTTCTCGCTGCTCCACTGATTTCTCCCATATCTGTTGGTCATAGGCGCCGATCTGAAAAAACAGACAGAGGAAGGATTGATGATGATGACATCTGGAGAGCTACAGTAAACAGAAAGTAGGTACAAGGTTTTAGTTCCTGGATTCCATGCATGCGTCATCTTCTTGGTGTTTACAGTAAGAGGAATAAACCACAGGAAAGGTTTTCTTAAAAACACTAAAAAGCTTCACTTCCCCTCAAAACATTCATTTCAGAATCAGAATGAGCTTTATTGCCAAGTAGTGTTTTACACATACGAGGAATTTGCTGTGGTGATAAGGTGCTACATGTAGACAAACATACAGTCAATATAAATAAATGTAGAAATATATAAATATGGAATAGAAGAACAACGTTGCAGATATACACATGTGCATTATTCTGGGTCTGTGCCATGCAGAAGTAATGCAACAGAAGAGAATATTGTGTACATATAAATATACAACAAATGATCAACAATCAACAACAAATATGTGCAATGTGCCAGGTCTGTGCACGACATTTGTATCATTTGCAAGGGGGGGAGTGTCAGTGGGGGACCCGGGCCTTGTTAATGAGGCTAGTTGCAGACGGGAAGAAGCCGTTTTTCGCTGAGCAACGGCTGCAGTAGGACAGAACTATGTTTTTCCCTGGAAGGAGCTTTTACATGTCATTTCACTGCTGTATCTCCTTAAAATTAAACAACACTGCCAACGCCCCTTTCATTTTCTTAGCTGCATCATTATCATTATTAAAAAAGGCAGATTAGATCCTCATAACACTGGATTTTCAAGATCTTCAGTTCTTGGAGCAATTATGATCTCATTAAACAAGTTTATTTTTTACATGCGCAACCTGGATGAATCTGAATGAGAGTCATTAAACGCATGCTGATGAATCTTTTCACAGCAAATTAGGATTTAAAAAGCCCAATTTTTAAGCTTTAATTCTTCTTCTTCAAAAAAAGAGTTAAATATTCAACACAAGACTTGAGTTTTTATGGCGTCACCATTTGACCAAATATTCTATCTTTTTTGTATTGCTTTTTGAAAAAGAACATGAATACAACACGAAAACAAAACCGATTAAATGTCTATTAGAAGAACAGTATTACGCACTACTTCCCATACGTGTTATTATTAAAGGATATAATTAAACACTTTCAGATCTCTAGAATTCAAAATTTCAAGTTCAAGGATTTGGGTGTGCAGATTTCACTTTCTACTTCTCTCTCTCTTATTTACTTTTCACCTCTCTGTCTTTACTCACTTCTTTCTCATCTCTAACGTGGAATTAAGAACCTGTGAAACTGGTCCAAAAAGAAACCTCTATGACCTTACTAGTATTTATCATGTCTCACACACACACGCTCTGCAGGTATATTAAGCACAGTCTCTCTATGCGGTGTTGCTGCATGCATTTCCCCAGAGTCCCACTTGTGGGGTCCAAACACCGGGAGCCCGCTATACTTCAGACAGGGTCAGACAGCTTTGTGGGGACCAAAATGCTGGACCCCACAAAAAAAGAGACTGTTTGAGGGTTAAGACTTGGTTTTAAGGTTCATGTTAGGGGCTAGGAAATGCATTATACAGATCCCCGAAAAGAAAAAAAAAAACAGGCAGTGATACGTGTGAACAAGATAAATGTGTCCCCTGTCCAGACATCTGACCTGGGAACACACGCATATAAAACAAAACAGACACACTCCAAGGTCAAACTCAACTACTATAATACTTCTCTTTCAAAAGCCAAAGCAAAGTAGAAGAAAAGACACTGGGAGTCACACAATTTACTTGCTTTTTATACTGTCCGTGTGATCAGCTGATCTGACCTCAGCAGATCAGTGTATTCATGCGAGTGTGCCTGCAAGGCATCGAGACTGGGTCACCCTGTGAGCTCACCAGTGGAAACTGCATTTTTAATGAGAATTCATTAAAGATTGATAGGAAGAGAGGGGTCAAAGACAAGGAAAGAAGAACATTATGAGAGTAGGTCTAAATGATTTTGGAAAATAATCTAATTGCGATTATTTTTACCAATATTGCGATTTAATATGCGATTCATTTTAAGCTCTTTACCTTCTATATTATTCAAAATGGGCAAGCAGTAAATCAGTGTATACTATGACCAACACAATATTAGATAGATTAAACATACACTGTTCTTTCTTGTGTTATGATGAATTTGGTAGAATTATTATTATTATTATTATTATGAGCAATGGTGGAGAAGATATATCAAATTATAATAATGAGAAAGATAATTTGAGTCAAGTCATGGCATTAAATAATATGATATATCAGCAGGTTGGCCTACCTACAGACCACAAGAAAAAAAAGCAGTGGAGTACTGAGTTCAGGCGGATGTTTGTTTTTAATTTCAACCTGTCAAAGAAAACAAAAGCACCAAAAGTTAAATAGGGACTGTTTGAATACATTTGAAGATTATTAAGATGTTTATTCTTGACCTTGAAAACAGTTCTTGATATACAATCTCACCATTTTCAAGCCAACAGTGAGGAGAAGTCCTTTTAATATTTACAATGCCATGACAACTGGGCAAAGGGAGATCACGTGGATCGACTGAAAAGCTGTAGATCGGCTGGTGGTGAAATTGTCAACTACTGTAGCTCTGGCCATCCTGTAACAATTCAAGAAAGTAAAATTTTTTCTTTTGCTCCCTTTTTAACAAAGCAGCTGCATATGTCACATGATGCTGAAATCAAAAGCTACAAGAGAGCTACTAAATGGACCATTTCTGCAACAGGAATTAACAGCAGTTTCTTTTGTCTCAATGAGTTTAAATTTTGTGAGAATGTGTGCCCTTAATTGTCCTTGTTTTTTACTTTTAATGCTGCAATAAGGGACTATAGATTACTCCTCTGTTCATTTAGCTAAATAAACTGCAATTCTTAAAATCTGACATTATGATCGGGCTCTGGCTTATTGACAAATATGGATCCTGAGGCTCCACCAGATAAGAACAAAGCACTGGACAGCATTAAATCTGATTTCACTGACTGATTTACTGTGTGACATTCGGGCTGACAGCTAATTTTCCACATCACTCAACCTATTAAAACATGCGCACACACACACACACACACACACACAGATTGAAGAGGATGGAAGAGTATATATGTGGAGGACAGCTAGAGGGCAAACATGACCATGCAGCAGAAAGATAAAGAAAGGAGAGAGGGTGTAGAAAAACACACACAGAGTAATGAGGTAACTGAGATCTGACAGAGTGAAATTAACAACACTCAAAATCCTCTTAACGCACACACATTCATTCTTTTATCACTATCTGCATAACTGATCACCCCTCAAAATAAATCTTAGGCAACAAAAACAATTAAATTACACTTTATCAGTCCACTTGCCTTAGCATTATTATTATTATTCTGTCTTTAAATGATAAAAGATTGTTTTAGGAACCGTTTTAGTAAATGTTCTTAGTTAAATGGCACATGAATCTACACCGATTTCACAGAGATAATCACAGACTTCACCGACTTGACAAGCTAAGTGCTGAGAGTGCAGCAGAAGGGACAATGACGAGGCCAAGTGTGCCGCTGCGGCACTGCCGGGTTCACCATGACGACGGATGGCGGGACGATCCAGGGGAGAGGCAGAGAGAGCGAGAGGGGGATTATGTCAGCGAAGCAACAGAGTTATATAACAAACTGCCTCTGCAATGGAGGGGGTGTTACACACTCACACATATTTTTCATTATTCTCCCATGTTTTGTTTACCTGTGTGACTAATTGGGACAACATTTTTTTAAAAGTGGTCCAGTATTGAGCGAGCGCGTAGCTTCGATCGGTTAGTTTGTGTTATCATGTGACTTTGGTGTAACCTTTAAAACACATACACCACAATAACACAAAAACTAACCGACTGAGACAGCAGTAGACCAGCTACACCCATAGTCTGCGAGGTAAAATTATTGTTTTTATCAGTGGAGTCTGGTGGCTCTGACGAGAGCGATATAATGACTGTTTCTGGTTAAACAAAAAAGAATCATACTCTTTAACAAAAGCTCCGTCTCTGTAGGGATCCCTTCAATATTGTTGTCAGATATTTGTAATAGCAATCTCAGCCTGTCAGTGGCAAAAACAAGCACTTTAGTGGGCGTACTTTGACGGACGCAATTGCCACAAGGATTACGTTGCAGCCCTGTTTTGCTGCTGCTGACTGCAGCGTGCTCGCTCAAAACTGGACCAATTTCAAAACATGTTGTCCCAATTAGTCACATAGACACAAAAACAAAGGACAATAGGGTTTAGATTGAGAAATGCCAAGCATTGTGCGTTTTCAAAACACACAATCCTGTGCTCGGCCTTAATCGTTATTCCTCTCAGCAGAGCGTTTTAGCGTTTTTCAGCTCACTGTTTGGGTTTCGTTGCTGATCCATCCACTGCTCTCAGCGTTGTTTCCAGCCGCAGCAGGGAGCGGTTGTTTGAGAAAATGCTCTACAAACCCACTTTACTCTTCCTGTACTTAGCAACTAGCTGGTGAGCATTTAGCACCTAAAGAGCCAGATATTTCCCTCAGGAGTTATTTTATTATTGTTGTGTTTAAAAGTTTGTTTCTGCTGGTCTATAACAGCCAATGCAGGTTCAAAGAGGGTCTTTTATTGTTGAAACGATTAGCCAAATCATTCATTAGTCAATTTTGATAATTCAAAGTCATTTATCAAGGGAAAAAAAACAAGCATTTGCTAGTTCAAGCTACACAACATAAGGATTGGCTGTTCTCTGCTTTACATCATTGTAAATTGAATATCTTTGTTTTCAGACCTTGAAAGCGTCCCCTTGAGCGCTGGGATCTTGTAATGGTCATTTTTCCAAATGTTCCAGCATCTTAGACTATACGATACATTGAAAAATAACAGAAATAATCATAATGAAAATATTCTTGCAGTCTTTTCAAAGTTGAAAGCTTTATCTAATTTATAAGTCTTTAGAAATTATATTTTGTGTCAGGACCTTAAAATTATGTGAAGCAACCAGCTATATAATGCTGTCAA